TATAGGACCATCTGGTGTTAAATTTTACTGGTGTTGTCCTATATAGATACCGAATGGTGTTAAATTAACACTACAGTTTTTGCAGTGTATAGGACTGTGAATAGTGGAAGTATATGAAGTTTTTTTACCACCCTTTGTTGGGCTGAATAAATGTTCTACCAGTATGAAACGCAAGAAAATTCAGCAGTATAAACTAATGTATTAATTTGGATTGATTGATTTTATGTTATTGTTCAAATTTAAAATTCAATTCAGCGACAAACTGATTTGTACGAATTGTCTACCTGAGTGTTTCTGCACCATACTCGCGATGTAATAGTGAATTGCAGCATGTACAGTAGACTCACCTTGATGTTGTTATTTCTCCTTTGTTATTCCGATGCCTCCACCTGTTCTGACTCGTCATTCTTGTGTGATGTTTATTGTCACGTGCTGCGTTATAGAGCAATTTTCCCAGTCATTCTCTTGATTTATCAGAAACTTTAAATTGCATCCGAATCAACGTATGTTCCTTGAAATCACCAACGGTAGGTGAAAGTAATTGGTTAAAATTCAAATAAAATAAAAAAGTAAGAGAAATTATAAGAATCTAGTCCTATATAGCATATTTGTTCTTTCGAAAAGTCTCGTAAACTCGGACCTTTTTTTAGAGTTTAAAAAAAGGTCAGAGTCGATAAAAAATGTTTTTGGCGCTTTACCGCAAACTTCCTTTTTATTACATGTATACATCACGCAAATATTCTGTCTTAACTTGCATGCATAGGCCTAACTGCGAATTATTATCTTGCATTATGATTATATTATTTTTGAACCAATTTAGGGTGTTTTCACGAATTTGCCGTACGCTGGATATTCGGAATTTCGGAATGCCTATTAAAGCCATTATGTTTTCTTTGTTTCCTTATTCCTGTAGTAAATTTTCGGCTGAGCTGTGACTGTTGTCATAACGATGTTTACGCTTCTCTCGCTCGATCTTTCATTTCATGGATTCAAAAACAAAAACATGTATTGTTGTTCCGTCCGAAATTCTTGACATCGCCTGTTTTTATTGTCACTACACAGGGTGGTGCAAAAAGAAGGAAACTCACTTTTGACAGCAATTTTCACCTACTTGTTGAGCATATTCCAAAAATTCAAGTTAATGGTATTAAAATATTGATTTTTTTAAACATAAGTGTCGAAAAAAATATTGCAAATGCATATTTTGTCTCTGAGATATTGGCAGTTTAAAATGTACATGTGCCAAACCTGTTTGTCTACGGACGGCTTTATTCCATCCGCTTGACTGAGCTCCGCAGCTTGATATGAAGACAAAAAAACACTACCCTAGACTTAAACACATGGACAACAGTGATTTTGGTGACTTGTATTCAAATTAGCATAATTACACTATTCTTGCGATTAATTTAAAGATTTTTTTACCACAAATGGTTGAAAAGCTATGCTTCACTATATAAATTATATACATTACGAAAAAACCCAGAAGTTCAAATACGTTAAGCAAGAAGGTTAAAATTCCTGTAAAAAGTGGCTTTCCTTCTTTTTGCACCACCCTTTAAGTGATGTCATCGTGACGTACGTGCGTAACGGAAGGCGGTTATGTCTATTTGTACTTTGGATCTTCATCCGCCCGTCATTGTGCTTATGACGCTAGCGGTTGACGCAGTGCTGTAAACAAAAATATATAAAGTCCAAAGTTATTTTTAGTCAATGATTAACTCTCTGTACGTGTATTTTGCTTGATTCAACGACATTTGTCTACTATCTATACATGATCAGAATGACCTCCGGAAGATTAAACAAACTCATCATTTTCTTTAACGGTAAAATGTTTTGGGAACGATTCTCGCACAGAATTATCTTCGAAAATTCGTTATTTATTAAAACTGTGGTTTGAACGGTTGAAAACCAAGCGAACATGTCAGATATTTCACCTCTTTTGTCCTCAGGGTCTGAATTTGAAATTCATGAAATTAACCAGAGAGAAGGTAAAGAATTCTACTTGTTCTGTAAATCTAAAGGATTTTAAAATGGTCACACATTCGGACTTGGGAATTGAATGTATACGCCCCTATACTCGTTGCATGCAAAAAAGCAACAGGTTGAAAATTCCGTGATATTATTAAGCAAACCTTTATAATTATATCTGTATAATATCTGTAGAATACTGTGCAAACTCCTTGATAGGATATCCCACACGGTGATAGTGACAGAACATGCATTTTACAGGGTAAAAATCACTGAAATTGCACTTTGTGTACCGGTATTATTGCTTTGGAAAAAAAGTTGAGTAACATTTTTTGGTTCAAAAACTGTGCTTATTTCTTTCTTCTGAGGATGTCTTATCTGCTAATAAGTGTATAACTGGAAAACAACTCTAGCTGTTTTTTTTCCGGTGGGGAGGGGGGATTTGTTGTTAAGATATCCCCTACCCCTTTGTGATTCACTATGTATCCCCGCCCCCTGTCCACCACCCTGGATAATTTACCCCGACCCCAGCCAGACCGGACCCAACCGGCGATAATTTCACGCTTCCCCGCCTCCATACCGTACCAACGCGGTTGCGCGCTTGGGACTCCTACCTCACGTTCTCACACTAACCGCACGGTCACGGTCAAGCAGAGCGCGCCGCGCACCGCAGACAGACCGGCCGGCCGCACGCTCCGGTCTCCCCCACAAAAACAACCCACCATCGCCCGCTGATTCGTCACAGTCAGCTGAGACCACAAGTTAACGGCCCGGGTGGGCCTTGGGGTGTTTTTGGCCCGGGCAGGGGCCAAGGATTTTTATCGCTTTGTGGTATTTTTTGGTCCCTTCTCTGTCTTTTCATTTTTATGAGTTGTATCTGGGCCAGGTCATGTGTGGTTGTTTGTACTTGTTGCAAGGATCCGCGCAACCATGTCATTGATTTTTTTATATTACGCCATTGTTTAGGTTTCCCTTTGACGCCAAATATACTACAAAATGAACTATGTATTTACTCGATCCTTTTTGGGGGGGATATTGTAATTACTAATCCTGTCGCGCTTAACTTAGCAGTAAGTGCAGCTGAGCAGGAGATCTGACGGTTGGTCGCGGATAGTTGTCGAGCGGATTTTATGCTTCTCCTAATGACAGTGTCAAAACTTTGAAAACGGTACAAAACAGGTTATTCATAAAATAAATAGAAAAACAGAGAAGAAAATATAGAGAGACTAGATGAAATTAGATTATGGGGAATTGGGGAATGGTTGTATCTCTGCATAATTACACTACTTTATATTAAAAATCAAATTCTTATTTGAACTTCTTTTTTTAAAACAAATTGTTCTTCTCTTTTTTTCAAAACAAAACAACTTCGCATTCGTTGCTTTTTAGTGCCCAAATGGCCTAAAGCTATTTTAGTGTGAAAAGGGGCTCAGGGGATTATACCCATTTGGTGAAAATTGCTCTAGTTTGACGAGATCATGATGGACATTTTGGGACATTATCAGTAGATACATTTTAATCAATTTTCATATCATCAACTTTATACTGACCTTATATAAAAAGGGTAATTGTGAATGATGCGAGGGTTTCACAAAGTTCAAACCTCCAATTTTCCCTCCTTGCAGCCGTAAATCTTCCTTTCCTTCTGCGCCTGCCAACCATTCGCCCTCAGCATATGGCATCACTCAAGATGAAACGCCGGGTTCGCGCCAAAAAAATAATTTCCGACAGGCCGGTGCGAGTGTTAGTAATTCGCCTAATTGTCCCCCGGGACCCGATTTTCTACGACACCATGGCAAGAGGTGATGCGCCCTTGACCATGGATAATTTCTAGCATACCGAAAACGAGTGAAATGCGCAGGCGACGGGATATGTCAAGTGTGTGCATCGATCATCCACTTCGGATTTTTTAGCAGTAACAGATTCGGTGTCGGAAATATACGTCTCTTGGCCTGCAAAACATCCGAGTTATACATTACAGTTCCATAGAAGCTGTTGATAAACACTTTAAAATAAGTCAACAGAGAAGCAAGCGATGACGCCCCAAATAATTAAATCACCGTGTAACAACCATGCCCTCAAATTAATAAATTGGTACTCCCCAAAATAGAAAGGATTTAAACTGCATTCCAATATATCACCATAGAAACCCAAAAGTGAATAATTTAATCAATTCAAAAACCACTAGAAAATAACCTTCAAATAAAATGTCGTAGAAACTGCAGGTGGTAAAATCCGAAAATAAATCAGCCGGCAACAATAAAAAAGCCATAAATTTATCACCATAGAAACCAACTGACAAACATGCCCCAACGTCACCAAAAAAGTCTGAAGAAAAAAAACCTCCTTGAACTTTTGAGAATAAAGGTGAACTGTTTATACCTCACTTTCTTTCCTCTGTTTGCATTTTTCTTTTTTGTTTGTTTGGTGGTGTGTATTGTGATATTTACGAAGAAGAGTACCTTTCAAGCAAGGAAGTGGCCATTTTAGAAACTTGCTTCTCGATTCCGTAAGATCGGCAAACCACTCAAATAAATGGCTATGATTGGAACGAAAAACCCAAAGACTTTAAAAATCGTCTTTAGTATGGAGAAATGTATCTTGTGTCTGAAACAACAATTCGCAACCAAACTGAGTTCAGTCATTTCGAAGATTTTGGATTTAAAATTACATGTTTTCATATTCATCTTTGCTTTACTTGTCAAGGAATGATTTCATCCGGGGTACTCTCATCCAATCGGATAAGCAGTTGGCTGAAATTACTTGTCTCACCTCATTACACCGAGACACGTCTCGATTTAAGCCCCGACAATCCCCTCATCTCACGCAGAGAAAAAAACCAGACAAGCCAAAATTTCATCCTTTCATTTTCCCCATGCACCGAACTATCATGTTCAAAAATTACCTAGGGATGACGTTTATAAAAACCCAAAGAGGTTCTGGATCATGTTTTCCCCTTAACGAAGTATTTCAGATCTTAGTCTTTTATATATAAACACAGAAATAACACACACACACACAAAACAAAGGAGTTTTCTTTTCCAAATCTGGCTTCTGTATTTGATACGATTAGCCAAGCATTGTTATGACAAGCTCTTGTTAAGCATGGAGAAGATATACGCTAAGATAAATTTACAACTCTGCATTCTGATTGGTTTGAAACTGGATTTATTTTTTACTATAAATGATGAACAAAACAAACAGAGCGACCATCTTTATCCCCCTTTAAAAATAAATATGATGTCCACAAGATGTCGTTGAGACAGAGGAAACGGTTTCACTTTAAGAGTGATTTGGTCATTGAATGGCCAATTGTGAAGCGTGTAAGACTTCGGGGTACTATACCAAGATGGCCGCTGCGCAATGATCGGAAAAGGTACATCTGCACATACAATTAACCCTTGATCTTTTTATACTCTTTTTTGAAACTTCGCGATTTAACAATAATCAATAATTTAGAACCTGTCTACATCATTTTATGACGAGCAGCACAAAAATCTCAAGATTATTTAAAGCCACAACTGTTTTCAAACAATGTTTCGTGAACTAACATGGCAAGCTCGTTTCCTTTAAAACCATATATGACGGTGCCGCTAAATCGCAGGAAATTTTACAAACTTTTAAGTAATCTATATAAACTGGCTTAACTATGCGTACTAAAACAAACAAACAAACACAAAAATCATCGACTTTGCTATTATTCAATGCTCTGGCACTTTTTTTTCAAAAGACGGAACACGTTTGCATTATTGCTGTTAGAAATATTTCTTACACCGACGCAGCACTTCGGTTGGAGAAAGTACAGTACGTGTGGCCATTTTGTAATAAATTAGTTTTTGATATACTACTCTGGTCTAGCGTGATTTGTCAATAAATATACTAAACTGAAATGCAGGGAGAGTGGACCTATATTACTGTACAAACATGTGGAATAACTTTTTTCATTTTTAATGGAATGCCATATTCTGAAACTGAGTCTCGAAGAAAATTGAGAATTTGCGAATTTCACTGTTCAAACTCGAGTGACTGAATAAACTTAAAAAAAAAAAAAAACATCTGTCAAGTGACATTTGTGGCCAGGGTCATGTCATGAAGAAGACCAGTGCATATTGATCGAAACGTTGACAGTCAATTCTTGTATCTTTGAGTCACTGTCTTACTCAAAGGGTTTCTTAAACAATGGTATTGTTGCAGCCACGGTAAACGATCTTGTACCTTGACGTCGCCGGCAAAATATGCCATTACTCCCTCAGTACGCGTCTCGGGCTCAATCTCTCGACGGCTAGGACGGTACACTGGGAAATCCAAGATGGCTGCGCCCATTGTGCAGAATACAATTTTCATGAGGTTGGCAATGTCGGAAGTGGACAGCCGCAGCGTTTAAAAGTTATCAGGGACTCTGTCCCATCATGTTTATAATTTCACAAGCTATCAAGGTAAATGGAAAAATACGAAATTTGGACCCTCAGAAAATCGATTTATGTATGCACTAATCTTCTATCTGATAGCACTCCGCGCGTGAACAGAGTTAACTGTGTCACCCACTGACATCTGCGGCAGATTAAAAAACTCTTTGTAGATTGGTATTCGTCAGCAAATACAAACGCTTTTTGTTCTGGTGTCGGGATATTTTTGACGGTCCAAAAATCAATTGTGTTGCAGATAGTGCACTGACATTATGAAAACACAATGGCATGCAAATAAGTGGGTTTATTTTCTATACACTTTCTTTTTTGGGGAAACTTAAGCTTAACCAGTGGATTTCATCAAGTTTTTAGCTGTGTGAGTTGTCAGCGTACGTTGTCCATTGCTTCAAAGACGGAACCAGTTTGCCGGGTACCATCAGTGTATCATAAAGTTTGCGGGGTCTCAAGTAAAGCAATGTACGGCTCACCATGATCGGATGTCAGTTCTTGAAGGTTTTCAAATTATTGTTCCGTTCGCAAAGGAATTGCGAATTTACTTGTCAATTAAAGTTCCAACATTCACTACTGAGGTGAGATCACGTCTTGGTTATCAAGCATTTTTTTCGTCTTTGATCATTAGAGTAAATGGCACTTTTGTACACTGTTCCTGTAGGGCTACTGAGGAGAATCTGCGTATGTATTTCGTTTGACTGCTGGACCTAGTGTTTTTATTTGGCGTTTATTGAAACTGATCTGGCATCAGTTTGTAGTGCTAATATTTGTTGAATATCAGATCACTTCAGTAGTCCGGAGAATGACATTTCTCAAGATTTAAGTTCAGAAAAAAATATGGATAAATTCCGAGCACCATATTTGGAATGAAAGTCATAGGGGCAAAGTCCTCTTGGTAGTATGTAGTAAGCGTAACGTCCAGCCGGCCCCACACTTCAAACATTTCAAAAAGTCCAACGTGGTCTCGTTCCTAACCTTTGGTAAACCGGTTGTGTACAGCTAAGGGCGCAGGGGACCCGACCGTCAGGTCAAGGGTCAGTCCCTGAGCATATCCCTGAGCACGCCCTCAACGTTTATATCCCGCGTCAGGTGTTTGTAGAAGAGATTCTCGAAGACTTTGGTGCTGAAGCCGCGAACTCCGGGGAGTAAGAGGAGAAGGTGCGACAGGCGGAGCGGGTCGCGGGGGTAGCAGGCGTTCTCGTACTCCATCAGTGCGGTGTGGACCCGCTCGTTGGCTGCTTCGACGGCCGGCGAGTTGCTCAGACCACGGAGATCTAGAAAAACGGAAAAGGCAGAGAAAAGAGAAGAGTTTCAAGACAAAGCTGCAAAGAAAGATGGAGTTGACGTCTTCACAAGTCATTCCTGAAAATTCACCCCACTACAAAAAGAAGTGTATGGTCCAAGTTGCATAATACGTGGAATAACTGGACCAATATTCGGTTCTGAAGTATTTATTGTCTACTGACTCGTGTTTTTTCGGCCTCCTCAAACTCGTCATAAAAAAAATGTACTGGTTCAAAAAGGTTGTAAAACTCGTTCTTGATCCCCTATAAATCAAACTTTGGGTACACTTTGTTTCTGCACTCGTCCCCCTGATAGCAAACATTGTTTGACTACCATGGATCAAGACTAGTGGTTGGAGCATCCGTTTTATAGCGCAATAGTTGGAGACAGGACCAATATAACTCTTATTTCTTCAGTGATATGATCATTATATTTTCTTTTCAGTGTAGCTTTCAACACCTGATGGACCCTTTCAGGTCTTACTTGTGGTCTTGTGGATACTCTTTGATTTGAGGGTTTCCAAACCTAATCTTATTGGCTTGTTGATCAGATTCGAGTCAGGACTTACCAGCGTTAAACAGTAGTAGCACCCGAAGCAGCGCAAATTCCTTATCATCGGGCCTGATCTCACGAAACTTGTGCAAGATAAACCTAAGTTGCTCCACGCTCCTCAGCGTAGGAATCCCCTCAATCCAGCTCCAGTGTATACAGCACTGGCCGTGACGGGTGGGAATCGAACCGGGGCCCGAGAGTTTCTGAGCCAGGTCGTCCAAGCCACCTTGCGGTATGAGATACTCAAAGTCAAAGCGGCTCTGCGCCATGTACAGGATGACCAGCTCCTTCCAGGCGGCGGAGAGGAGTAGTACGCGGTCGGCCTGGGGGAGGGGCGACAGACCAGGCACGGTTTTGACGAGCATGACGGCTTTATTGAGCCAGTCCAGTAAGTCCAAGTCCGTCTGATCGCAGCGCGTCATGTCCAACAAGACTGGGGTCCGGCACGGGCAGGTGCCGGCCGCGTTCGGGTCGATCAGGGGCCGAGGCGGTGCCGACTCTGCTCCCGTGGTGGTCGCAGTTGTGGCGGTAGCTGCTCGGTCGGTCGGAGACGAGGGAGGGGAGTCCTGCAGAAGCCGGGACAGACCGCTGGACAGATTGGTGGGCAGGTGGTTCCCGGGTATGTACTCCCTGCGTGTGTCCTCATGTCTGTCCACCGGTGTTGCATCTGGGTGCTGCATGATTATTCCGTCTGAAAAGAAAACACACAAGTGAAGCACTGTTTATCAAAATTAGTGGGCATTAATTTAGACAAAAGAACGAACCTGTTATCCTGAAAAACAAATCGTTACTCTTGTCAAGGGACACTGAACTGAAGTGATCTAACGACCGCACTACACTTTCCACTACCCTAGAAAATGTTTCAAAGAAAAGATGGGAAGACGACCGACTCAAGATTCCAGGAGAATAATAAAGGTTCCGAGTAGCCAAAATAGTATATCTTCAACAAAGACCGATATTAGAGACTCGTTTCTTATTTTTCTTCCCATTTTTGGTTGTCAGTACATTGTTTTTGTCATATTGACGAAATCTCCACCTTGTTTCCCTTTCATTTTGCTTTTGTTTTTAATTAGCAGGTATGAAACCGAAGCATTTCCTTCCCCGCCAGACAACGCGACGCTTGCTTTCGTCCTCGTTTGAGGGCAAAACAAATCTAGGGCAACGATATTTTTTCTTATAATCAACTATAAGCGTGCTGAACGAAACCTGAGATTTCCTTGTCACGATAACATCCAAGGCTGACACCTTATGAACTGGAAAACTGTTTCAGATTCAGATTCGTTTTAAACTGATCTAGAAAAGAATTTTATGGCTACATGACTGATAGCAGTTCGTTCCATTTGGCACGCTCGTGATGAGGCCATGGATCCAACAGGGAAAAAAACCCAATAAAATTAATGTCCGGTAATTTTAGGGGAAATATCTAAACAGTCTGCACATTTAAGGAAATATTCAAGAAAAATATATGGTGATCTTATTTTTTTGTTTTATATCCTTGTTTTTTGTAAATAACATGTTATTATACATGTAGGGATGATGGTCGTACCTACAGCTGTCACATAAGTTTCAACCAAATTGTTTTGTTATTGTACTCACTATGACCCTTCTCAATCCTCCAGAATCAGCCAGGCAGTTTTGGAGAATTTTGGAGGATTGAGGCTGAATGGCAATTGATTTTGAAGGATGCAACATGTAAGGGTGTTATTAAACATATTGAGGCCTGCATTTTACTAGACGCCACCCTCTTTGCTTTTGGATATCATACGCGCTGCCTTAATGTAGTGCAGTGGTTGCTGGGGGATTTTGAAGGATTGAGGCAGTTGTCAGCCCTCATTCGACCAAATTCAAGAAAAAAACCGGATGATTTTGGAGGATTGAGGCTGTATCGCAGTTGGGTGATATTAATTAATTAATTCATTATTTATATATTTTATTTCCAACAGCGGATAACCGCCAGTCATACAGGCTGAGTATATTACAATAAAAAAATTATGATAAAACTTACAATTAGGAACATGATATACACACAAATATAGTGAAGGATTTAGGATGCATCCTAGCAAAAAGGGCCAAGGCGGTTAGGGGTTAAGAGATCGTTTGCCCCTTTAAGAGATAGTTTGCACCTTTAAGATCACCTGAGTGATTACCATACATAAGCGTCGTGACAGGAGGTCAGAGAATGGTTCTGAAAAAGCCCGACGCGTAATAAAGGCACGCATGCCTTAACAATACAGTACGAACATTATCTTTTATTCAGGCAACATAGTAGTACGGAAAAGCATTGTGTCATTGTTGGCTTCATACAATGTACAACGCTTTAAATGCTACCTGCATTAAAGGGGTCCTCTAGTCGTGTATTTTCGACAGTACAGACTACCACTATACACAAGACAATCCTCTGCTATTTCGATTTTTAAGAATACTCGCTTGCAGCTTTAAAAGTACATCATAAGATAAATTTAAGAAGTAGAGTAAGCTGTTTAGACAGATATTCCGAAAACAGTCATTCTTAACAAGACATAAAAAAACCGGAGTGCAACTAAAAAATCAGTCCATATACATGTATATTTCTTGTCAAATTATTAACTGGAAAAACCCAATCAACAGGAAAAGTCGAAAGCACGATTGAAGCGTTTTTCGTATCGACTTCAATTTGAGTCACTGTTTGTCAGAACATGGAACTGGTGGAAATTCCAGGCAGAATTTTTAACTGTGTTTTGTTGTAATTGTTTAGTTGGATTGATTGTTTTCGTTTTCGTTTTTGTTTTGGTTTTTTTTAATTTTTTTTTTAGTGTAGCTATCGTAAGTGGCTGGACTTCGAATCGGTGCAGAAAAAAATTCTCTACCGGTTAAGATTGATATAATGAGACAACGCACGCGTCGCACATATCGTGTATCATGAAACAGTGTTCTTGTTGCAACAACATATTCTGACTGTTGAAAACACCATGACTCTTCATACTATAGGTCTACCGTTGCATTGATCTACCCTTGTAAAATTACCGCAAAACACTGGGGAAATTATAGCACTGTCGGAATTCGGAGAAATGTTCCACAAAAAGTGTCAAAATATTGGACCTTATGTCCACGGGGAACGCCCATGGCCATGATGTGGGCATATTACTTTTTGGTCCCAGCTTTTGTTTGTAGTAAATCGTTCTTGTGCTGGAGACAAATTGGTATGAGAGTTTGGTTTTGTCACAATTCAGCAATTCAACGTTAATTTCTGTTCTTCAATTAGGTACCGAACCTGTGGAGGCACGAGGAAATGGCGGGGGAAAAAATACGTGTTCATCAGAACTTTTATTTCACCAGAACTTTTTTTTCCGGATGAAGGTCCTTTTTTTTAGGTGTGAAGGGTAAACAAAAGAAAATCGAACAAATGAAAGTGTTTTTTTGTTAAATCACATAATCGCATTAGCTATTAAACACACCCTAGCATTGTTTGTACTGAAGATTTTTTTAGGCCATAATCCGAATTATAATTACAGATACAGTTTTGTTTAACAATGCTTAATTAACACAAATTTGGATCATTTCTGTGTTATATCGTGGAGCTATAGGCCTACCACGTGTTGCGTCGCAAGCTTAAATTCAGCAGGAAAGAGTCGTTGAAACTAACAACAGGAAGGAATTGTGGGCCTTTTTCCTGCAATTTTGCGCCAAATTTAGCGAGAAAATGTTAAAGAGTTGGTAGCTACTCCAGCAGGCATAAATTATGAAGATAAAAAGATTGGTGAATAATATGGATATATAGGAAATATTATAGCAAATAAAATGGAGGCAAGGTATACTATTAATATTATTTTTTTTTTAAATACAGCGTCATGCACAATAACATTTTACTATCGTAACTATCGTGGGGCATCCATATTTGCAAAGACATGTCTTGAATGCAGTTTACAGACAAACAAACTGGAGAACGGAAATGGTCAATAAACGACTGCCATGCATCATTAATATCAATGCAAACAAACACAACGACGGACAAATCGATGAAGAATTACGTCAGAATTTAGGACGGGTTGGAACCAGTATTTTCGCAGGCATCGGACATGGCAGTTTTTAGTCGTTTTTCAGCGAAAGTTTTACCAGACTTCAATATTTTTGAACACTTTGAAATGCATTGTAAATGCATTGACTCGTTTGTTTCCGGAAAACAAATAAACAAACCACAAACATATCGGTCTAACCAGAACACCAACGTATAAGAAGAAAATGTGATAAATAGTTTCAGACCAATCAGCCGACCTTACTAAAGATTGTCCGAACGCTGCATGCTTGATGTTTTCCCCCAAAATTAACTTGGTTGTTCCTACCTTTTCGTGGGTCTATCCCACTACATCCGCCTTTCTTGTGTCGCATATTCCGTTTGAAAATATCACCACATTTACAGCATATTTTACTCCCGAAAAAAAATGATGAAGTGACCACTCGGACATCAACCACATTGAGCGCATGCTATCATTGTGTTAATATGACGTCCTCCACATCACAACAGGGTTGCGTACGTGCGTTCATCCACACGTTATGTCCTATCTTTGCGTCCTTGGCGATCGGGCACTGTTTAATGACGCTACCGCTATCTAACGGGTTGTGTGATATAACGGTATCATTTGCCGGGGCACCCGCAAAACAAGGGAAACATTCCGGTTTATACCTGCATCACATGAAGTCCTATGTGCTATCTTAATTTGCGTCATCGGGTATAACCAGGGGTGGACGGAAGAGAACATTTTCTCGGACGAGCATTGAGCACCGCAGGTGCCCCACGTGCATTCTCTTGTTACTTCCTCAATAACGTCTTGGCGAGCAACACTTAACTGTTACGCAATCATGTCTAGACGGATCTTTATTTCGTTGAGTGGGTATGAGGGGGGCATTGAAGCGTGCTCGTGTTTGTGATTGGTCGGTTGTAGCACGGATGTCGTTGTTGTGTTGGAGGAAGAGGGGTGCAAGCAAGGGCGGATCCAAAACAATTTTTTTTTTTTGGGGGGGGGTGCCCCCCAAAAATGTGTCCCCCAAAAAGTGGGTCAAAAAACTTACGGCGTGGGGTTCCGAAATTTTTTTGGATTCTAAATGCTCTGTGGTGCGATCTGAGGCAATTTCTGACCACTTTGACCATTTTTTTTTGGAAGGAAGAGATGGTGGTGTACGCAGTGCCTGCCTTTATAGCGACGTCACTAAACAAAAAAAAGTTGCGTTCGTTTTGGGGGGGGGGGTGGCCCCCGTTGGCCTCCCCCCTTCCGCCATTGGGTGCAAGGTTTGGTTGAAAATGATGATTAATTCAACTCGGGCCTTTGAATAGGTCTCAGTTCGAAATAGCTTAGCTTCATAGAAAACGATGCCCAAGAGTCTGTGAGCCCAATGTCTTTGGCGGTAAATATTCCCATTTGGATAAGATATCTTCGATTTGTCATCTTGGTGTTTTCTTAGCAAAATGACACTTCTGGCTAGTGTAGCACATGCATAGCAATAGACCTTATGCCCAGCGGCCATGATCTGAGCGGGCACCTTCTGTAATTTTAATTCTGTAACACTAACAAATGAATGCACAAAAGATTCAGTCGCGCATATCCCAGCAAAACAAAGCCATACTGCCCTCTAAGATGGCTGCTACGCTTAAGGGTGCACTGAACCAATTCACGCCCCATTGAAAACAGTGTAAAATACACAAAGTTCAGGACCAAATAACATGCAAGCCGACATCACTGGGGTTTCTCAAACAAAAATAAAATTATTGTCTTGTACTTCATCTTTTCATTTCTTTTCAATTTTGGGTGCTAGCCGATTACATTTTTAAATATTCACACCAAAACAAAATCACCTCCCGAAAAGTGATAGTTCCCAAGCCTGCATGTAGCCGTTTTACAGGTGGCAGCCTTCCACCGTGACTTTCCACTTTCTCAGGCAAATAGGACCCATTTTTCAACCGTAATTTTATCAAGCCTGCCCTCAGATGGAAGCCCAAAAACCGGGGAGTTGATCCTTGGCTACATTTATTTACACAATTCCACCGTTTTTAAAGCCAAACGGTCTCCGTTTTCAAAAGAAACTGTGGGGTCACTTTTTATGCTAATCATATCACCTCGCGTAGAAATTCTCACTTGAATTAGTTCACTGCACCCAAAAGGTCCATACTGCTATATCGACCCCATGCACAGCGCGTCTTGCTCTCATCGAGGACATGGTGTTGTTATTTTCGTCAATGGCAATAAAAGTACAATGTCCGCTCGGCGTGTGCATTTCACAGAGAAGCAAAGAATTGTCTTCATTGATGGCGGTCTGTGCAAGGGGTCTATTGGGTGTGACTTAAGTATAAGCAATTACCTTGACTTGCAAAAACAGACTCTTTGCGTTGACTATGCAGCTTATAGGCTATTATATATAGGAATCCATTCAAGTAGCCGAAGCTCGCATAGTTCCAAGGCCTTTCCAAGCCGCGGTTTCATTAATTACATTTTAAACGAGCTTTTAATGCGTTATAGAGTATGTGCCAACCATCTGAGCTTTAGAGGGTTCCGCATAACGTTTTTGAAGATAATTTGGAGGGTATACCTTTGAGGTTTTGGGTGGGGCTCGACAGGACTTGTTGAACGGGAAGTGTTTGAAATTGGAGGGACGTACGACGCCGGAAACAGTATTAATACTGACGTATTCTCTTTCATTCGATAGATGCATTTATATTTTATTTTTAGAAATGGGGAGTTGGAAAAAAAAGATAGCTGCACTCATACCTTTGGCATCATTAAATTTGGAGACTGCCATGAGTAATTTTTACCGTTATCCGTTTTACCTGGCATTAACTTCCTGTGTCTTTAAACTCATAAAAAAACTCACTATTATAATGAGTGCACATAATAGTCTCGGTTCCATAAGTCGCACTGTCAAAATGCCTGAATTGCCAGTCAGTGAACACTGACCAGTTTGCCGTGGTTTATGCGTTTTTTTCCCGACATAGATTGGGATCTGCATGCGATACTTGGCGTCGATTTGCCCTGGGCATTGCAAACGCGCAGACCACTCGCCTTAGCGTGGCAACACACAAAGACATCGTAAGTGCACAGATTTCACGAGCAGTCTGCGCATAATGCGCTCATTCTCTACCTAGTCTTAAAACCTTGCAAGCTGGAAAATATATTCTGAAGTATAAATGTACGAGGTTTTTATGCGCCCAGTTCGTTCACATCTCTGTCTAGGCGTGTGCATAATCAAACAAGACCTATAATTATGGTGACGTTCGTTTCAATTGTGTGTCTTCTTTATTTAACCTTCCGTAGATAAAACATAAATTCGGAAACATTGGGCGAAAAACATTCTTGACTTTCGCGAACTGCCTATCTCCTTCGGAAAACAAGGCCCTGGCTCTTACGCGCCTTATGCTGGAGTCCTTGGTATGACTAGCGAGGCCGACCATAATAATAGTCGGTCCCCGTGAAATCGTCGTTAAAAAGACCTTCAGCGGAGCAGAGTGGGGAAGGCCGCCGGGGCCACAGCGCGCTCTGGACGGCAGCTCGTCTCAAGGGCACTCGCTTCGTTCACCTTGCGTCGCCGTGCGCCAGACAATGAATTTAAAAACACCTTGTTTTCCTGGGTTAATGTTCTGCACACGGTTCTAATGACAGAATAATATTCATCGTACAAAAATTTACACAAGAATCGTGGCCGAATTTTCTTCAGTTTTTCAAACTTTGTTTCCCATTTCGCAAGTGAAGTTGAAACTCAGTAATAGTACGCGAATGATTTAAAACTACCGTAACTGTGTGATGGGAATAATTGAAAAATGTGAATTTTTCGCTCCCATCCGCGTAACGATGATATAATGAATAATAATATGGTGTGCATTTTCAATTTCAATGAGAGCATGTATGGACTTGCTCGTTTGTTGTTTTTTCCATTAATATATTTATTGTAAATCTACAGTGATTTCAAAAAGAGCAACAACGAATACGCCGTTTTAGAAACCTGTCTGTATTTTAGCATGTTAATGTGCATGAAGAATTTGAAATGTCGCTACTTTGTTGTTTGCAGACGTTTTGTAAATTACTCTCTATCATTACAAGTTATGCCAGAAAATTCACAAGATTAAATTGACGGAAGGTTATGTACGTTGAAAAGACTTGTTTTCTTGTTTGTCTTTACCCTTCATTGAAGAATGTTGTAAAAATTGCGTCATTTTTTATCAAGATCTCAACAAGTCTATTTCACAATAGACAGTGGGAAATCCCTATTTATTTTTGCGGGATTTGTTTTTCAACTAGGGTGTCGTTTACGACACAGTGCTGACGTCGCAACATGATGAATTATATTTCCACATGTTGCGAAACGAATGCTTAGTCCCTTTCGAATTACGTCCCTTGTTTATGCTTATCTGTAATCTAATTAGAAATATAGATTATTTGATAATTAATTGCAATGCTTGGATATTTCAATTTGAGGTACATAATTCTATTCCCAAACACAAATCAAACGAAACAAAATACGCACAAAATAAAAAGTTAAAGTTTAAAATTTGCAACAGATTTGAAACAAAAATTAGGCCTATAATAACCAGTTTTAGACCCACTAAGGTTTGCTTCATTAATTTGTCCCAATCATAAAGATAACGTTTTCTTGTCTCCGTTACTGATCAAAAATGTGTAACTTAAACAAAATGTTTTCAAGTATACTAGTTTCTAAATTTTAAATAATTTTGTTCATTCTGTGGCAAGATATTTTTGGTGATAAATAAAAGAATAATCTTGAAGTTTACCGCACACTCAGGCACATCTTTGTTAAATGCCATACAAAGCATTGACAAAGAGCACAATAAATCAAAGGAGAGCGGCGGCCATATTTCGGCGGCGTTGATGTCGAGCACAGACGCCATTTCCGCACAGCCGGCCGCCGCAGACAACACTCCACCAAAAAACCTGCCGATTTAGTCCAAAAAATTCATTCACAAAAATACTTAAATTCAATGAAAGGAATTACCTACTAATTACATGTACCTTCAGTAGTGAAGTCCCTTTGCTTCCGTCTTCTTTGCAAATCCACCAGAGTAATTCCAACCAAAAAGGAGTTGAATGAACAAGACAAGAATGAATGAACCTAACCGCACGCAAGAATCGGCAAAAGAAAAATGTGGAAAAGGTCCGATTTTATAGATGGCGCACAGCATGCATTTGAGCTCCGTGCTCACCGCGTACAAAATGATGTGACCGCAAATTCGTGCGTGTTGGCAGATGACGGTGAAATTGAACTTGTGGAGTGTATGCGTGCTACTCAGCGACGATAAGGGCCGGGTAGGGCAATGCAGAGAGCGCTTACATTGCGGTTCAGAGGTCCCCGGTTTAATTTTAGGGAAACACTGCAGAACCAGAGAGAAAATTACACATTAACCCGGCACGTAAGCGCAGCGGTGGTGCACTCTGGTTGAACTCCCGTCCAACCTGCGCCTTTGTATACGCGCTTGAGGTCCGCACACGGTTTGTGATTGGAGGAATTACCTGAGCCCGTTTGATTGCATTACTACGACTGCAGTGATCGTGACAATCCCCGTGACCGCACCAAGGAACGGCTATCTTAAAGCTTGCCCACTCAGTGGACTCAACGGCTGTTTTATGCCAATGTCATCTTCGAGAAGCAACTTTAAAGGGTACCCCTGGATCGAATCGCATGCAAGTTCAGTCCAAATTGACAGTTTCGATCCGTAATCCAATGCTATAATCCATTGAAAATAATTCCAATTGTGTGTGTGTGGAGATTAAACAATTTAACCTCCAGTTTACTTTTCGCATGCACAAAATTACACTTTCAAAATTCAACATGTCTATCGAGCCTGGTAACACATTACTGCTGTAGGCTATTATTTATATGAAGGTCCAAATATTGACTTTTTTTCCCTGATATTGATTATTTTTGACATCTGTAGCAAGCTGCATTGTTAGTCCATCAACAAGTGAACATCTGGCAAATAGTTAAATTATGCTCGATTAATTTGTTGTTCTTTCCTCGGTCTTTCTGAAATAGTTTAACGCCCAAACAAACAAACAAAGAAAGAAACAAACAAACAACCAATCAATCAATCAATAAAAAACGAACAAATATTGAGACGATCTATTTCCGTCCTATTTCCTGACTTGTCCTCTCGATAGTAATAATAATATATAATATAGCTTGATGCCCTGGTGGAGAAGAACTGTTCACCTTGCACAAATTTATACAATGTTATATTTTTTAAACCGTCCAAAAAACTTGCAGGCAACATATGGTATGGACAAGCAACGAAATACTTGGTGGATTAAGTTCTAAACTTTATTTTACACTAAAAGCAGCAGAGAAACGTAGATCTTGAGGTAGGGAAATTTAAAACAGACTGATTCCTCACTATACAACATATTAGTTTGCTTTTGCTGTAATTTTCAGAAATCGATGGATTTGGGGGTTAGTAATTTATAGCAAATATTGTTACACTGTCCTGTTTAAAGTGTTGTTTTCATGATGCTGGGAAAAACTCAAGAAAAGAAATGTTGCTCTTGTAGTCTGGTTCCCTGAACCTTCAGAAAAACGGAGCAATCTATAGACGCCGGGGAATCGTCAGTGTCAAGGAACCAGACTAGCTGGCTTGCACCCGTTCACGGACGTGTAACTGATTGCAACGGGGGCACTATTTGGAAAAAAAAAAATACACAGTTTTTTTCCAACGATGGTCGGCCGGCCATCGTTGGAAGTTGATACAAAAATTCAACAAGTTCTTGAAATATTAATGACAGCACACCATGCAGGTGCCATGATTTCACAGGCCTGATGCTTGAGACTTACAGTCGAGTAAGGTATTTCATAGTAATTTGGTAGTTTTGTTTTTTGATATTTGCAAATGTTGTATGTTACCTTTAATATCACTTGCCGGTATTATTTTTTCCCGGAAAAAAATCGCGTATAGCTCAGATTAAGGTTAAATATGTTTTCTTCGAATACCAACATTGATTTCTTTGCGTTTTTCATGCAAGCCCGGTTCCTGTTGCACATTTTATTGCAAAAATATAGGGAGATTTTTTTCAGGAAAATGTGTAGTTTTTATTTATTCGCTACGGTATGTTTTAATAACAGATATTTAGATAATTTGGACAGTCTTGTAATTAGTTGATCCAGCTATATACTAATTAGGAACCGTTTTGGGGATTTTTTTTTTTAGAAAAAGCTACGTTTATACAATATTGCAATCATGAAAAGAACTCTGAACAGATAGAAAAGTGCCTGTTAAATGCATTAATTCCATATGTTATACTTATTAATTATAATTGCCAAATAGATCGACATCTCTAAACCTGTTTTCGCAGGAGGCACGAATTTTGCGACATGAATCAGCCGTTGACTAGGAGTTCATGCGGAACGAACGTGACTGAATGATCACTGACCTTCGTTTGGGTTATCATGACCCCCAAAGGGTCATTAAAGGGACACGCACTCATAATTGGGACTAGTCAGTTAAAGGTTTGTTATCGTCACGAATTCTTGCTCTTGTCAACGTATATTATTACCTTTGCAGAAAAAAACTATGCAATATCATGGTTAACAGTTTGTCGTGGAGAAGACCTAGCTATTTTGTTCATCAAACCTAGTTCATGTATTATTAAGGAGGAACAACAGAACTCGACAACACATTTCACACATTGTTGTTTTCCTATTGTACATGTATACGCACTGGCTCGGTGTTAAAAATGTCGACAGAGGGCGCCGTTCATGTTACTACAAAACTTTCTACTGCGAGCACCTTTTTCTGGCATTTACAATAACAATGTAACCTAATTTGAAGTTTCTAATTTGAAACATTACAGGCGAAATCTAGCGCGCCTTGTTGAGCCGTTTTCTTTTCTTTTATTTTATCTCTTGTTCTTTTTCACGTTCTTCCCTTTTTTCGGGGTGGGGGCGGGGGTGGGGGGAGGGGGTTTCAGGGGCGTAAATCCCGGGGGATGGGTGTATTTATCCCCCCCCCCACACCCCCACACACACTTTTTTACCAGATGGAATGGGCTATTGAATCATCCCCCCCACACACACACACACTTTTTTTGTGATGGAAAAATGCGGATTTTGAGGTATTTTCCGAACGTCCCAACAACTAAAATATATTCATAGCACTGAAAAGTGGAGAAACAAAGTACAAAAGCTTTAAAAATGTAAGCGCAAGTAAACATATTGATATACATCTTTATCCTGAAGCGCGCCCCTAGTATATGGTGTACGTCCAGCCCCCCCCCCCCCCCCAGCCCCCTTTTTGAATTTCCACGGCCGGGCAATTTTGGGATTTGGGTCATCCCCCACTCGCTGGCACACCCATACGCGGCCACTGGGTGGGGTGGGGCTGGGACTAACAGACTGGGGCTATTGGCTGAAATTGCTTAAAAAAATACTGCATCCAGGCGTTTTCTTTTCCAGTGAGATAGCAGTGTGCCTCCCCTTTAGGCTTAAGAAAGATTTTTTTTTGACACAGAAGAGATAATGTTAATGAAATTCTGGTGTAATTTTCCATACCCATCATCCCCAGAGGAAAAAAACCCGAAAGCGCTTAATATGCAACCACCCATGCTGCACCGAGTTTGATATGACACGAAGCAATCTATTTTTATCCAGTCCCTGCAGGTTTTTTTGCGCTTCTCAAGTCCAGGTAATCCTTAATGGTGATAACTCACAAGGTCAAGGATTTGCGGCGAATGGTCAGTTAATTAATGGTCAGTCTCCACTGGGCATTCTAATGGCAGGGATCAGTGGTCAAGGCTAATGGTGTTTTGTTCTGCGCTCTGGCCAGGATCCTTGCCCGCATGGTCAAGCAATACCGAAGGCACTGTCATTTTAGGTATTAATTGAAGTGAATGTACTTTAAATGCGTTGAATGTATATAATTTAGTGTAAATTTATATTATTTGTGTGCGTCGTACTGTAGCTCACACCTAAATTGCACTCCAGCTCAACTTCTATAAAATGTTCACTTATTTGTTATCGCTGACATGCTTGGTGCAACTTTAACTTCCACCGTAAGATGTCCATGTATAATGGGTCCGACTAATTCTAGTCTCTTCAAATATTTTCGTCTTAAATTTCAGTGAAAAAAAAGTCTTATATTTCGATGGTTTTATTGGTGTTCTATCATTGAAAAAAAATAGAGTCGACTCTCGTTAGTACAAACTCTGTAAATACAAAATTCTGGTTATAACAAACATAAGGCCTTGGTCCCGACTGTGCATTTATGTGCACAATGAATGGGAATGATGTTCCTCTTTATACAAAATTCTGATATACATTTGTAACAATTTGGCTAGGTCCGAACAAGTTTGTATTAACGAGACTCGACTGTAACACTATCCACAAGTGCATAATAAATTTGACAGGACATTTCGAAATTTTCAACAGGTGAATGAACGTTTAAATATTGTTCAATTCATGAAAGAAAATTTATTAAAGAAATTTCACAAAATTACACTCTGCAGGAGATTGAGCTGTCTTTATGATATTTATTTATCAATAAAACTGATCTACACAATGACACACGACAGAGTTGATGACAATTTACTTAACCTATACATATTGGTTTTTTTTTATTGTTATTGTTGTCCACCATGAAACATGCAGCCATAAAGGCTTAAAAACAAAGCTTATTCAAGTTTTATATTCTGTCTGAAATATGCTACTTCTTTTATGTTTCCAAAACAAGTGACACCAATTATTAGGTCAGTTAGATTATAACAAATGTTGATTTTAAAGGAAACTTTTACCTAACTAGTTTGGTCAATTTACTGTATTACCTGTATACCAGGTGATTTTTATCATTGGAATCGGCTGCCTTTGGCAATTAATAGGGCTTAGTAATTAACAAACACATAAACAAGTCCGCATAATAAATTTCATTTGATTCTTGGCTATACATTATATTTAGACAGCAGAAAGACTTTAAGCTGTTATAATATCAATATATTGTCATTTTAATAGTTGTTGGCACTATCAGACTCACTTTTGCCAGAATGAGTAAATACAGGAGCAATCTTGAGCACATAACCACTACTAAATACAGTTGTTGTCATTTCGTCATATCATGGGCACGTTACTGCAACGAAATAGAATCTTCTATAGCAAGGCTTTCAAATACTGCAACAACTCACAAACTACATTTTATACAAATACTGTCTGCTTGACTGTGTGAGCTCTTTTGGCATCCAATAACATGACCGTCATCAATCATAATGCCACACATACGCAAGGCAAGTTCGATCAAAGATCAGTGGTTAAGTAGTGGTTGGTTTGTGACGTACCTAGCGCATGCACGCTGAAGTTGAAGTATGAGCAACTCTTGTCAAACTATTGTGTTGACGTTTCTGTTAACTGACACAAACGATAGCGATTGTGTAGTTTAGGACATAAAATACATAATCGCCATTATTATTGAACAATAGTGACAAAAGTGACAGAATTGTTAACTAACATGGAAAAACTGAAATGGAAAAAGATGAAATGGATCAATTTATAGATGCCGGAAAATTGTAAGGTAAGGGAACCAGTCTAGCCTATCTGCACTCACAGTCTCATTATTCTGCCATATTTGGCGATAGTTGGTACCCTCTGCACTACATGTATGCTATGAAAATTGTCACTGATAACCAGCTATAAATTGTTGTGCGACTAATCGAGGTAGGCTGGTCCTGACTGGTCCAACCATCGTCGACTCGCGTGCGTTTGATCAGAGTTAGATGAACTATGGTGAACTATGGCCCTTGATCGAACTTGCCTACATGTACAGATGACTACATGTACATATTTTGCAGCAATCAGCATATTATCCTAGCCTGGGAAAACCTTGGTGCAGAAGCCAAGGGTGTCACATTACAGGGCAAAATTCATGGATAGAATTTGACAAATTCTAGGCATAGAATTTGTCATCTGTGTGTATTTTATGTTTATGTATAGGGTGTAAAATGAGGACACACAAGTGAAACATCCTTTTCTAATCGAGGACAGGAGTCCAATCGAGAACGTCCTCGACTGGAAAATGTGTACAAAACTTTGACAGCCAGCTGACACAAACAACAAACAAGCATCACGATATGACATTTAACCTATGACCTTAAACCTACGACCTTATGACTTTAATATCCGTCATATCTTGCAGGTCGTTGCGGGAGGGATACAAGACTTTCAGGCCGCCGTCCGCCGCGCTGACCCGAACCTGCTCCACCACCAGTGACCTTGAACCTCCAGTGACCTTTGACACCGCCTCCTCATCAGATGGTTCCTGGTTCACATCCTCTTCTGGGTCTCCAGATGCAGAGATACCGGATGCCGGCGGGTCCAGTAGGATTTCTGCGCTGCGGTGGATCAGGGCATCCATGACCTTCTTACAAACGGCAAGATCCGTTGAGCTGGTCACCTCAATGAGGATGTGTTCGGTGGAGCGGGAAATCTGAAAAAAAGGTTCAAACACATTTTGTAAGGATAAGTTGACTGAAAATTGGTTCCGGTGTTTAATGGTCTCTTAAAACATGCAGTAAGTCACTCCAAGCAAACAATGGCACAACCGTTTGGCTGAAAAACCTTGTGATGGTTCCCTAGTGCTGCTTGAGCATCCCTCTCTGGCTGTCAAATTCAACACAGCTATCCCAGCAGTCAAAATCAATCAAGTGACTGTTTTTAACACTTAACCCTTACCCTACTAGACCCTCCAACGCATGCCAATATGTGCCTCAAGAAAATCTCCTATGTTTTTTGCATGGCCCTCCAATATCTGCCATGTCATTTCAAGGGTAACTGGACAGGCACTCCAATACATGCCACAGAGAACAATGAGAGTCCTCTGATAACAAAGTGAGTGCCCCCAGCTGGTCAGTATCAGGCACCCTCCAGGGCCTCCAACTCCTGCCAATTGGAGCCTTCACTGTTAAGACTTGTTATCTGCCAAATAACTGCAGCTGGAGGGCATTGGCATAACCAACTGACATGCAGTAAACTACCCTCAGAGAGTAAGGGTTAAAGAGCTCCCAGCCTACATAAAGCAGGATTGACTGGCTGTGACTGTTTATGTAACTTGATACAGCTTTGCCTTGACAGTAGGTGATTGATAAGCCAGCTGTGCCTACCAGTTACTTGCGTTTGTCTGTTGATGGAATTTGACTAGTCACAGTGCTTGCTAGAAATGTGATCTGACTGTTGGTGACTAGCCTGTGTATAAAAGGCATGGCAGGGGAAGAGGATTGATTTTTTGACTGTTTAGACAGCAGGAGGGTGCATAGAAATTTGCAGAGATTTCTAGTCAAAATGCCATGTGACTAACTTGCTTATGACTGCTTTTCAGCTGAATTTTGCTTGTCGTCTGGTTAATTATCTTGTTTAAGCTTAACCTTTTTTATGCTTATCAAGTATTTGTGGACAAAGAGAAAGATTGGTTTGTATGAGAATATGACAGTCACCTTGGTTATGTCGGCATTTGTGATTGGTGGAAAAGAGATCACCTGACCCTCTCTGTCACAAAGGCATGGGTACATTCGATGTCCGTCCAGCAACTCAAGGTATCTACATGAAGCAGGCAGATAAAAAAAAAAAACCCACAGATTTTAATTACGTACATTTGATATTATGCTTTTAAGTGATAATTTGGCCGCAAATTTCCTCTCGTTGTCAATACTCTAAAAATGAGAAACCACAAATTTCAAATCATAAAATGTTGACAGTTCACTGCAACAAAATTTGGTCAGATTGAGTTTACAGTCACTAAACTGTTGTTTTAGGATGTTGCGCGTTATTTTTCTTTAACTTAAAAAAATTATGAACTAATGCAAAAAAATTATGAACTAATGCAGAAATCCCGGGGAGAAATCTAAAATTTAAGCAAAGGAATCGGGAAGACACAATTTAGGAGTAACACCGAGTCTTGGCAAACTTAGATAAGATTCGCTAAAGATACTAAATGCCTACAAGGCACTATCTGAAGTTTACTTGTCTACTAAACAGACTACTGAACCAATTTATTTTCAATTTGCCCTTAACCCTAACCGCCCTGAATCCTTCAAAATCCTCTTTGCCAAAGTGGAGGAACTTGGAGGATTGAGGTTACATGACAAAAGTGCGTTACTGATTTCGTAGGATGCACTTTGTTAAGGTCTTGGGCCAGACCTTGTGTTGTTTTTGCTCAGCCATGCATAAATATAGGCCTGGATTATGCTTGAAATCCTCCGTTCTGCTCCAGGATGTCACTGGCCAAGCCTCAACATATTGACAGTCACTGCCGCAGGATTTTGCAGGATTTAGGCAGTGGTCACCCCTCCATGGACCATATTCAAGAAATAATGGAGGAATTTTCAGGATTGAGGCTATATGCTATTTTTCCATGAGGCCAATTGGAGGATTTTGCAGGATTGAGGCTACATCCTAGCAAAAAGGTCTAGGGAGTTAGGGTTAAATTGCTCTCACTTGTGAATGCCAGAGATGGCGTTGCGTTTGGCCTCCTTACGCAGGTCGTCCGCTTCTTTGTGCAGCTGGGTCATCAAGGCATTGGCCGAAGTGATCTTGTTTCGACCCAGGGGAGTAATCTGGAAAACATTGAAGAAATACATAACACTCCAAAAGAATAATCGATGATCATCTTCAATGAATTCAGAATGGACTAAGCAATAGGATATAAAGTAAATCATACATACTCATGAAGCCCTCCCCCCCCCCCCAAAAAAAAATCTTATACATTGTAATTCCTTTATCATGTGCTCACATTTTGGACAAGATTTTACAAGATTCGGAACATTTCAACCCAAAAATTAAAACAAGGAAAAATATAATGACATTAATGTAGAATTAGAAAACTATAGCAGACCTGAATTTCCGGGGGTATTTTGACCTCATAGGTGAGTGGGAACCGGACAAGGTTGAGGTCATGGGTCGCGATGGTGGCTTTGGTTCGTTTGGCACAGAGTGGTCCATCATGTAACTTAGTCTGAAGAAAAAGTAAAGATTTTTCAAATTTTTTTAACATTTGCACATTGTTTCGCTTTAATTCAACAGCACAACCAAAGAAACTTTTAATTTGTCCTATAGTTTTCTCACACCAAAAAAGAATTTTATTTTTAAAAATGAGAAATTTTCAAAAGGATGGTTGTTCGCTAATTTTAAAGAATTAACAAAAATGTGAAATTAAAGTTAATGCTACATTTACAAAGAATGCCTAAAACAGAGTTTAGGTTGAGTTTTTATTTTACTGTTTTTATAAAGGCAGTGTATATTTTGCCGGAGACGGCAAACCTTTAGTAAACGTTAGTTTGCCGGATATGCACTGAACATGCGCAGTTACTGTTTTTTTTTTACTTAAACATTTTCCGGTTACAAATTTTAGTCTGGCTCCATGCCAATATTATCGTTGTAACCTTGTATTCACAAGACGAGATTCAGACCATTTTATAATTTTGGACTTTATTTCCCTTTTAAAAAAAATCCTCCAGAGCCACAAATCTGAAAAAGAAAATGTAATACTCTGCAATAAAATGTTTGAGACAATACCACAGACATTTTTTACAAGTAAAGCTGGCAATTTTCATGTAGTGATTGTACATTTTGTTTTGTTTAATCTTTTACAAAAAAATAACTGTGACAAGAAAAATTAATTTGATTTGTCTCTTTATTAACCTGCGCTGAAATAAATCTCTTGAATCTGGTGCCCTTCTGCAAGTTGACATCCCTGAGTATGCAACAAACAATAAACGGCCTGACATCTGCCACGCCTTCCTTGACAACGACCTCCACGCCCCCGTCTGACGAGTCCTTAAAGTTCAAAACCCTCAGCATCAACTTGTCCAAGTCCTCGCTCAGGTCGCTTCCGGTGGACGCAGCTTTCTTCCGACCTTTCTTTTTCTTGGCTTTTGCGGATTTCTCCTCTGGTGCTGATGTCTTGGTGCCGTGGTTGCGGATGTAGTCCAGCGTGGCTTTGGTGCCGCGCGACTGTTGGACCAGTTTACCGAGACGGCGATCGCGGAATGGGTTTTCCGTCAACAGCAAGTCTTTCAGTTTGCCACAGTCCGCGAGCGATGCTGGAACCTCCGTGATCTTGTTAGCGCTGAGATCAAGTTTCTTCAAGGCTTGAAGATGACTTACGGCATCTGGGATTGCCGTGATGGCATTTTTCACTCCGACAAGCTCACTGAGGTGGGACAACTGATCGGTGCATAAGGGCGCCAACGATTCTATGTCGTTACTTGAAATATTGACCAATGACAGACGCTGCAGTCTGCCAATCGACTCAGGCAAACACGTCAAGTTATTCCGACTTGCATCAAAAGTGTGCAATTCAGAGAGTTCACCAAACTCATCTGGTAAAGACTGTAACGAGTTGTTGGACACATCAAGCACCCGGAGAGCCTTCAGGTTTCCCACCGTTGAGGGCAGTTTCGACAATTTGTTACCACGCAAAACCAGATTGACCAAATTCGCGAGTTTTCCGATGTCTTTTGACAGCTTTAGAAGCGATGCATCAGCAATTTCTAAATAGTTCAAAAGCTCTAGGGAATACAGTGTATAATCTAGACCCGATTTTGTTATTCGCTCTGCAATCTCAGGGCCATTAAGTAACAATTCTCGCCTGTTTTCCTTCTGAGCTTGCACTATTTCGGGCCACACGGGCGACGCCATTTTTAGCAGATAACCCTGTGCGGTACCTGCACTCCCAATGCACTTAAATTAGTTACTGATAGAGTGGGTATCAGACTAGACAATTAGTTACATGTTGAAATACCACGTGCTCGGATTTGTGCATGGGATTTAAAACACATGAGAATTCCGAAGTTTTCAACAGAGCATAACATTTGAAGTTACCACTGAACGAGTTCAATTTTCAACATGGGGAGGAAGAAAGATCTGAACGAGCTGGGTAAACGTGGTCCTGGCAGAAAATCGAAGAAACAAGGGGCGCCAGAGATGCCACAATATCTCAAAAGTCAAGGTGAGAAAATTGTATTAACCTGTTGCGATATTAACCCTTACTCTCTGAGGGTAGTTTACTGCATGTCAGTTGGTTATGCCAATGCCCTCCAGCTGCAGTATATTGGCAGATAAACTATCTTGACAGTGAAGGCTCCAATTGGCAGGAGTTGGAGGCCCTGGAGGGTGCCTGATACTGACCAGCTGGGGGCACTCACTTTGTTATCAGAGGACTCTCATTGTTCTCTGTGGCATGTATTGGAGTGCCTGTCCAGTTACCCTTGAAATGACATGGCAGATATTGGAGGGCCATGCAAAAAACATAGGAGATTTTCTTGAGGCACATATTGGCATGCGTTGGAGGGTCAAGTAGGGTAAGGGTTAGTATGGTAAGATCATTTATGTCCCAATCTAAACACAGAATGATTAGAACTGTACTTACCATTGTGTATATGAAGCATTAAACTTATATTTCATTTTTCTTGTTAACAATAACAGTTTTTATCTTTATTATATTATTTGCATTATTATTAATTTTTCAGATGATGAATCTGAGAAACGACTTGGCCGTAGATCGCGACAAAGGTGAAGTTGACCGATTACAAAAATGCCAATATGTCACATTAGAGTTGTTTATAGTTATCATTTTTGTAATCCCTGGCTCAGGGTGTTCTATAAATTCACTGCGCACCCCCACGATTGTGACATTGACAATGGCCACCAAAAAAGCAAAGGTTTGATCGCACTCTCCCCATGCTCCCATTGCCTCCTTTCAATGTGTGGACTACATAGGCCTACATGTAGTTGTAAGCCTAGTGTTGCGCAAACATGGCTCAAATCATGAATTGCTACCTGGAGTATTAATTGCAGAATGCCCCGCCACTCGGAAATGCACCCCTAAAATCTCGGGCTACGTGGTTGGAATTACTGGAAAAGAAACAATTGAAGTCCATTGCCAGCTACGCGGATACTGAGTGGGGGTCCCCTTGAGAATGAAGCAATACAAAAGAAAAGGGTACAGGTAGCGCTGAGAGGGTTTGTTGAGGCCAACCAACCGTGACTTTGTAGCCGGCTACGAGGTGCATAGATTGAGTGGCGGGGTGTTCTGCAATTGTGCCGGCTACCCTTGGAATAACACACACACACACACACACACAATAAAACTGGCAACATTCACATTGAAATACCCCCTCCCCCTTCCCCAGTATGGAAATCCCTGTCAAAGATTTAAGACATGTTCATTTAATGCATCCTCAGGTGGTTTTTTGCCATTGAATGATTTCAATTCATTTGAATATTCCGTTCACCTGCAGAGTTGTCAAGAGGGTCCAGCAACAACGTCAGCAATTGAACAAACAAAAAGAACAGCAGCAAAAACAGCAGCAGCAAAAACAGCAGCAGCAAGAACAGAAGAAAACAAAAGTGGAGAAGGCAACGCCAGGCAGCGCCAGAAAGAAACCTGTGACCGAGATGGACAGTGACGGAGAGGGAAGTGACGGGGGATGGAGCGATGATGGAGAGTGGCTAGATGATGAGGTAGAAGAAGGCGAAGAGGAGGAAAGCGAAGAGGGGAGTGAGAAGGAATCAGATGAAGGTATAGTCTCAGCCAGAAGAACAGATTAAGATTATGTTCCCCTAACCCCCTAGGCCCTTGTTGCTTACAACCATCCCCAATCCTCCAAAATCCTCCAAAATTTTTCAACTCCGCCTAAATTTTTCAAAATTGTCAGACAGTCCTGCCTCAAAATGCATTCATCTTCAATCCTCCAAAATCCTCCTCATCCCAAAACTTTGCACTCGTGTTTAAATGAAGGATAACCAACGCCAAATCCTTCAAAATCATCAGACAGTCCTGCCTCAAAATGCATGCATCCTCAATCCTCCAAAATCCTCTTGTGCTTCATTCACCATTCATCCTCAATCCTCCAAAATCCTCATGTGCTTCAATCACCATTCATCCTCAATCCTCCAGAATCCTCATTTGATTCAATCACCATTCATCCTCAATCCTCTAGAATCCTCCAAAACCGCCAGGAGGGTTTTGGAGGAGTGAGGTGGGTTAGGGTTAATGCAGCAGGTCCTTGGCAGTGCAGCTAAACTGCCTTGGCACTAGCAGTAGGGGGCGCTATCAGCAAGATGAATCAAAGATTCTTTTTGCTAATGGTTAAGGCTAAAATTCTTTCTTAATTAACCCTAACCCTGCCAGACGCAACACATTGCATCAAGTGGAAAATAACTGGTGCACTTTGATGCTTTCAGATACCAACACCAGTGCATGAATGGCCAGCCCTTAAACAATGAGAGCTAGTCCCATTGAACATGCCACAGTTGTATCCTGCTGCATACGGTGACCACGGACTATGAGGCAGTGTGGCCTTGAGACTTTTTCCCTGATGGATCTTGCTACATTTGGCAGGCTGGTCACTTGGACAAGTGTTGCAAGTTGCTACGTTTGGCAGGATTCTAGCAAAAATACCCTGGAGGGTTAGGGATAAAATAAAGACTCAGATTTTACACTTTGCACAAAATTCCCCCTTTCTAAAACAAGTCCAGTCACAAGTAAATCACAAGGCCATTCATAAGTCCAGTCACAAGTAACAGTGGATAAACAATAACAAAAGAATGTTTTTGTCAAAACTCGTTTGGATAGCCTGTGAGTTGAATTGGGATTGGAGGGCTTGTGATGGACGTGCAGGGACTTGTGATGGACTTGTCTTTATCCCTAATTGTTATCGAATTAAAGATAGGTATCTCAAACAGGAGATGGGTCAAAGAGATATATCAGCCATCCTGACCTGGTCAGTTGTTGATGACATTTGAACCCCGACCTCAGCTACTGTATGTATGACATCACACCCAAAACATGCCAGATGTGTTTCATTTGTGAAATGTTTTAATCATCCTTTGGTTGCAGAAGATATTGAGTATGATTTTGACGACGATGATGATGATGATGACGACGATGATGAAGAAGACATTGAAGAAGGAGAAAGTGATGAAGAGGAATTTGCCGACAGCGACGACATGGAAGAGATTGCCGCCAAAGGCTTCATCAATGACAACAAAGAGCGGTTGACTCCTGCATCCTCCAAAAAACCCAAGGCTACTCCAAAGACGAAGAAAGCTCCTTTGAATCTTCTGGAGGGAGACAGTGATGCCTCAAGTGAAGATGACGATGCTGCTAAAGGCTACACTGATGATAACAAAGAGTGGTTGACTCCTGCATCCACCAAAAAAGCCAAGGGTACGCCCAAGATGAAGAAAGCTCCTTTGGATCTTCTGGAGGGAGACAGCGATGAAGACGAAGAAAATGAGGAAGTTGAAGAGGAAGATGATGACAGCTATGATGAAGCTGATAGTGAAGATGACTCTGATGATGAAATGGTTAGTCAGTGACATTTGCTTGTAACAGCCAATCTCTGTTACAAAGTATTGTGTGGAAATGCAGAGCATTGTGAGGAGTGTACTGCCATGATCAAGTCAATTAATTTGCGCATGTTGAAGGGTAGTTTCAGATCACCATTTCCACGAAGTCTATCAAATGGGAGCTTAAAGATATTACGCATCATCAGTGCACTTAAATACATGTAGGTGGTTAGTCTCTCACAGCAAAGACAAGAATTTTGTTTCTACTAGAAAACCACCTTATCTTTAAAGCTATAGTCCATCATTTGCAGCCATCCGAAAAGTAAACTGGCATAATCATTGTTGAAAAACATACTTGGTTGAAAGATAGTAAGGGGACTAAACTCCCTGTGAAATTATTCTTTCTGGCAAGCTGTCATTTTGAAGTAATCAACGAAAGAAGGCCTTTCCAACGGTGCGTCTTAAAACGCACCGTAGGAAATTTGAATTAGTAGTTCGTTTTGTTATTCGGCGAAGCGTGCGCAAGCATTGGCACGATGCGCGCGTGGTTGCTATAATTCGTCGGATCAGTGCGCGACATCGCGTATAGCTGCAATTCAAAACAATTCACAACATGATTCAGCAACTGTTGATTTGAAATTGAGATCCTAGAATGCTGTTTTTCTCGGAATATACAGCTGAAGCTGAGCTGAAACTTCATCAGATTAGTTATTCAGTATCCTTCATTAGATTTTGAACACTTTTGTTGCTTCAAACGAACAAAATGCACAAATTACAAATGATGGACTATATCTTTAAGATCATTTGATTACTGAAAGTGTGATTATAACACAGATGTCAATGTCTCCTTTTTATAGACCAGGTCACAGTTGTGGGATTTGGGATGCTGAACCACAGTCGGCTATGCTTCCTTAGACAACTATGTTTTTTTTCAATCTGTCAATCTGTTTCTCTTGATGCAGCCTGCTGATGACTTTGGACCGATGGGATCTGATTCTGATTCTGATTCTGATGAAGACGACAGTGATGAGGCAGAAGACGACCAAGATGACAGTGACTTGCTCCCCATTGAGAAGGCCTCCAAGAAGCTGGACAAGAAGATCAAGAAACAAAAGTGAGTCCAAAACCAGACTGTGTATAGAACTTCTCCTTTCCCACACCAGACTGAAGTTCATTCAAATTACTTCATTTGAAGTTTCACCAACTCACAATAGTACGCATATTTGTCAAAAATGAAAAATTATATGACTGGAGGAAATTTGGACGGGCTGTAGAATATGGTTTGTGGATTGTTTATGGGTCTTGTTTTGTTATGGCTTTTGATTTCAACTCAGTGATATAGATCTTGACCAGTTTAGAGAGCCTCTGCCAACATCGGCCTGGGTAGGTTTGTTGTAGAGCGCGGTTGCAGTTTTCCAGAGGTCAAAGGTTACAGTCTGGCTTCAGCCATTTTGTTTGTTTGTTTTTGTTGCCTTTGTGTTTGTGTGTTTGTTTGGGGATTTGAGAAGTTTTGGTTTAACAGAGAAAAAGGTTGGGAAAAAGATATCTGTCTGCATTCAGGCATGCAACTTTTCATCGGATCAGCTGATTTCCTCTTTTTTTACTTCCCATGTGTGCCATTAAAAATAGAAAAACACTTTACAAAGTCTTGGAAAGATTTGATTTTCCTCTTCTTTTTTTTGTGTGACTTCCCAGTTGGGTCTTTCTATAAATTTGGGGTCCACTTTTGTTCCTGTCCCTGTTACATCTGACATCTATGATTTAATGATTCTGATTCACTCCTCAATGCAGTCGTTCTCCAAGAAGATTATGAACAGCAAACTACCTACCCAACAAATAAAACATCATTTGAAGTCATTCTTAATGATACTTGAATGGCAACTTACAAAGTACCAAGGTAACAGGGACAGGAAAAATGTCACACTTTGGACCCTAAATTTATAGAATGACCCAGTTGCATACCTGTGAATTGCACAGCACCGATATGTCCGTTCTCTGTTCATATATGTTGTTTATTTCATATTTTTCCTCCGTTTTTGTCAGGAAACTAGCTGAGGCTGAGCTGAGAGCAAACACGGCACTCTACGACATGTTTCACCTGCCAACAGATGAAGAACTGGAATTAGAAAATATCCTTTGCTTTTTGTATGTAGTCATTAAAAGCTTCAATCCTTTTGTTGCATTGGTGGATTTAAAGGAAATATACAACATTTGCAAACATCGAAAAATAAAACTACCAAGTTTTTACGAAATACCTTACTAGGATGTTGGTAAATGACAGTCTAAAGCATCCTGTAAAATTATGGCACCTGGTGTGAAGTCATTTTCTAGAAAATTGTATTTTTGTATACATTTCCAACGGTGGTCAGCCGACCACCGTTGGAAAACCTAACTATATTTTTCAACTACTGCTCCAAATTTACCCTTTTTTTCAGTCCAAATTTTGTTTGCTAATGGTTACATGTTCATGAACGGGAGCAGGCCAGCTAGACTGGTTCCCTTACCTTACAATTTCCTGGCATCTATAAATTGTTCCATTTTATCTTTAGTGGAGTCAGGGAACCAGACTACTTGAACGTTTTTGCTTTTCTTGGTTTTTCCAGCATTTTCGGACACAAAATTTCAAACATGTCAGTGTAACAATGTTTGATCTATTATACTAACCCCTCAAATAGTTCATTTCTGAAAATTACAGCAAAAGCCAATGATGTACATTCCCTTTAAATACCCTGCCAATGATGTAAAAAGTGATTGGTCTGTTAATATGAACATGCTAGATTAAAAAATAAGGCTTTAAAAATCATCAATGTTTTACAGTCGACTGTCGCCATCGTTCGTGCACATACTCTGACCTGTGTGTTTTTATGTGGCATGGTGACTCGTGACTCGGTATGATTTTGCGAATGCGTGACATCATTCCCACTATGAAAAAACATCTTATTTTTTTAGAAGAATTCCGGTGGTTTGAAGTAAAATGTGTCGATATATCGATTAATTCGGGCGATTCGCAATGCAGTGCGCCACCAAGAGTTTGCCACGGAGAGTCCATTTTTCAAGTTTACGGTCGACAAAACATGGCCCATTTGAAAGAGTGTTGGTAGACAACTTGAGCTAATATGTCATAGATTGGGGCATAGCGTTCTGCCGCCTTACAAAAAACACCATATTGATAACAAGAAAAGAATTGGGCAAACAGATCCTCGAATCATACGCTTACGAAACCACTGACCGGAAAAACTAACAATTTCAAATGTCCCGCGCTGCGAATTTGTCGACCATCTCCCACAATGCACTGGGAAAAATGAACTCTCCGTGGCAAACTCTTGGTGGCGCACTGCATTGTGAATCGCCCGAATTGGTAACGAAAGATTTGGGACACATGCTGCCTCCAGAGCTAATATTAGTCACTGTTGAGTCTTTTGGTTATTTGTCGTAGTGTGAGTCCCATTCTGAAACGCAGAATATTGTAAAAGAACAATTCTGAACAACAAAGTTTTGTATTCGCATTGGAACAGTCTCATAGTGGAGTATTCTTCTGTAATTTTCCACATAGTCCTCAAAATGTAAATCAACGAAAAACTTTAGGGTTTTAGTACTTGTATGCATCATCCAAAACTGTAAGTCCTAGCGTTGTTTGGGAATTCCTTAACGGTATTATACGTAGTCGACCTCTTGATATGAGTCAGGTGCACCAGAGGATGAAGGAAGTCATGGAGGTGCTGGGAGACTTCAAGACGAGAAGGGAACCAGACAGGTCAGTGAAAAAGATCAGAATATGAAATGATGATGGAATCTCCCGAGAATGAATCCTCGTCTGCATACCTAGTCTACAACTGGCAGTAATTCATATCTGGGGGAAAGAATGTGCCATTAACCCTTTGCAAAATGGAGGATTTTGCAGGATTGAGGCTAGATAGCAAAATTGTGTTGCTGATTTCGATGGATGTACTGTGTCAAGGTCTCGGGCCAGACCTTGTGTTGTTTATGCTCAGCCGCCGTGTATAAATTTAGGCCTATATTATACTTGAAATCCTTCGCCCTGCTCCACAATGTAACTGGCTCTGCCTCAACATATTGACAGTGATTGTTGGAGGATTTTGCAGGATTGTGGCAGTTGTCATCCCTCCAGGACCACATTCAAGAATTAACGGAAGGTTTTGCAGGATTGAGGCTGTATGCTATTCTTACGTGGAGGCATTTGGAGGATTTTACAGGATTGAGGTTACATCCTAGCAAAAACGTCTAGGGAGTTAGGGTTACTGTTGCTGCAGAGTGGTGGACCGTGGATTATGGCAAACGGATCGTTCAAAATTAGACCCTAAGCCCAGTCCATTAGTGGTTTTGTGTACATTTCTCCCAGTGCTTGTGGCTAAGCTACCATGGTCACCTGACTGAAAGTCTTGATCTGATTGGTGAATGCACACTCTTTGATCGTCAAGCAAGAAAGTCCTTTCGAAAAGGTTTCTAGTAAAACCACCCAAGGTGTTAGGCGGTTAAGTTCCTCCTCAGATGCCAAGCTTTCAAAGCTATTGAGCTTCCGATTTATGCAATCATTAAGAATGGTGGTTATGTCACTATGCAAACCTCTAATGTGGGCAAATGAAACAGGCTGGAAAACTGATAACTTGAGTACAAAATCAACAAGACTGCTGTTAGTTTTTTTTTCGACTAAAGAGATACCAACGGATAAAGTGACTTCTCATGTACTTTAAGACGTCTGTTTTGCCCACAGATCCCGTGTTGAGTATATCTCCGTCCTGCGGCAGGATCTAATGACGTACTACAGCTACAATGAATATCTCCTGGACAAGATTATGGACATCTTCCCCATGACTGAGGTAAACAACAACAACAATAACAACAAAAACAATCTGCTTGTGAACTATCACATTGTTTACACAACACAATTTTCTGTAGATTTGGGAGTTACCCTCCACCACGCACCGCCTCAAATCATATTTATTTCAAATTCTCAAACATTTGTAAAGGTTGTGACCTACTCTTATCTTATTTTCAGCTGATTGAGTTTCTTGAAGCGAATGAGGTCCAGCGTCCAGTCACGATACGAACCAATACTCTGAAGACAAGAAGAAGAGATCTGGCACAGGTATCAATTAAACCCCTCTTCTTTCCCATTTCAGACTTTCCAAATTAGTCAATGTCCTCATTTTTTAATTCAATGTAAAGTCTGTCACGAGCCAATGTGGCCCATCAGGCCGGCGTTTATCTCCGGTTTCAGTAGTATGAAACGACTGAGAATATTTCTATTCCCCCTGGATGGGATGCTAGTCCATCGCAGGTTACTCCCCAGCTAATGCCGGTACCCATTCTACTCCTTGGTAGAGAGGCAAGTGGGGCTGAAGTGGCTTTCCCAAGGGCACAACGTACGGCCAGCAGCTGGATTCAAACCGATGACTATCTGATCATGAGTCACGAACCCTAACCAGTAGGCCACACTCCCGCACAATATTTGCGGAAAATTCTTGAAATTGTTAGTGTTCTTCGTTAACTGATCTTCTTTTCCCACCCTATCCTGCAGCTTTTTAACTACTGGTGGCTCTTATATTCTAACTGATTGCAAGTCTGTTGAAAGTGTACTACTGTTGGGAGGGGACATTTTTCAATTGTCTGTATGATAGAAAAAGCTTATTGACGTCTTCATGTCTTGGGGGGCAGGAATTTTGAGATTTAGTGTAGGAAATAATGCTATAGTACTTTCCACAAAGGAGTGGAGTGTAGTGGCCTTGTGGTCCGGAGCATTGAATTTGTGGTCTGCGGGTAATTCTGCAGGTTGTGGGTTCGAGTCCAGCCTGGGGTCATGGTGCCTGTGCCCTTGGGCAAGGCACTTTGTCACTCATTGCTTCTCTCCAACCAGGAGTAAATAGGTGCCTGTAAGAGCAGAGATGGTTATTGTGGTTGATTTAAGCTGGCTTTGCTCCAAAATGGCTGCATCGAGCTGTATACTCCCCAGGGAGTTGAGATTGTCTTTGGAATGTTTCGTTGGCCTAGTGAGCACTGAGCAGGGTAATAATGAGGGTAATAATAATCATAGGCGCTACCTAAAGCACCAATACTGGTGCGCTTTTATAAATACACACATTAAATAAACTGAATAAGTATTCCCAATTTTGACACGTCTACATTGTTTCCTGTTTTAGGCACTGATCAACAGGGGCGTGAACCTTGACCCCCTAGCCAAGTGGTCAAAGGTCGGACTGGTCATCTTCGATTCATCTGTTCCAATTGGTGAGTTAAACCACATACAAAACTGCATTCTGTCTTTATGTTTAAAGGCAGTATTGACATATCACTAAAAAAAAAAAACAGTTTGAATGAGTTTTCACAGAATTATTGTTATTCTAAACTCTAACAATTTTTCATACAATGGGTATTATGACCTTAAACCCTCAGTTGTTGACCAATTTTATTGTTAACATTATCGACCTCGTGATACAACAGGTGCGACGCCAGAGTATCTAGCGGGTCACTACATGCTGCAGGGTGCGTCCAGCTTCCTTCCAGTCATGGCCCTAGCTCCCCAAGAAAAGGAGAAAATCCTGGACATGTGTTCCGCGCCTGGCGGCAAAACAACCTACATTGGTAAGACAGTGAGTCTTGTAGTCCAGCGGTTGTACACTTTTTTTGAGCAAGTTAGGGGGTTTCACAGTTTGTTCCTGAGCAACTGTTTTACTGCAATTGTTTGTGGAACATATGTGAGGCAATCTGGCAAAAACCATAGTGGAGAAAAAAAAGAAAAAAAAATGAATGGGGGTGATTTTTTTCTTCGATTTTTACATTCATTGATATTTGTAAACTTTGATTTGTCTACTACACACTTTTTAAAGAACAGGCATGCAAGTTTTCCTCAGATCAGCTGATTTTCTCTTTTTTTGCTTCCCATGTGTGCCATTGAAAATAGAAAAACACTGTACAAAGTCTGGGAAAAATTTGAATTTCCTCTTTTTTTTGTGTTTTCCCAGTTGCATGCCTGAAAGAAATAGTATACAAATCGTGGAATAAAGGGTTTTTTTGAGGAAAACAATTGGGCATCTTTTATTTTCACGACTACAAAACTCAAACTTTAAAGGCTTTTTTCTCTGTTTATTACTTTTTTGCAATGTCAATAAATTTAAATTGTAAACAGCCATAAATTGTCAATGGAATGTTCGATTGGAGTGCCACAAACGGTATAGTAAGGAGAATTATGCTCTCTTTTAGATTTTTATTCTCTTTCCAAATACCAGCAAACACTCATTTTGACCTACCTTGCTTAGATTAACCCTTACCGCCCTGAATCCTCCAAAATCCTTTTTCAAATTGGAGGAATTTGCAGGTTTGAGGTTACATGGCCAAAGTGCATTGCTGATTTCGGAGTACGCACTGTGTCAAGGTCTTGGGCCGGACCTTGTGTTGTTTATGCTCAACCGTGCATAAATTTAGTCCTTGATTATACTTGACATCCTCCGCACTGCTCCAGGATGTCACTGCCTCAGCCTATTGACAGTCATAGCCGGAGGATTTTGCAGGATTCAGGCAGTGGTCACCCCTCCATGGACCATATTCAAGAAATAATGGAGGAATTTTCAGGATTGAGGCTATATGCTATTTTTCCATGAGGCCAATTGGAGGATTTTGCAGGATTGAGGCTACATCCTAGCAAAAAGGCCTAGGGAGTTAGGGTTAATACATCAAGAAAGAGCAAACCCAATATCAACCCATTAGTACTAGCAGGGTTCGACTTTATCGCTTGCCCGCTAGCCAAATGCTAGTCAAAATAGCGGTGGGCTAGTCAAACTATTCCTTAAGTAGCCCGGCTGGCGAGTCATAAATAGTTGGGCTACGGCAAAGATGAAAGGATAGGAAGAAATAAATCATTAAAATCAGAAAGCAAACATGTATCAATTTGTGTCTAATTTTATAAACTGTTTAGGGTTAAATTACTAGATCTGTTTATTAAAAACTCTGACAAGCTTGCCTCAGGATACACGTTTGTATGCACATTGTTGTTTATGAGACACTTTGTAAAAGAAAAGCATGCGGGCTAGTTAAGAGTCTGTTTCACTAGCCTGGCTGGCCAGTGAAAAAAAAAGTTAAAGTCGAACCCTGGTACCAGTACATTGTATTACATTGTATTACATTGTATTACATTGTATTACATTGTATTACATTGTATTTATTTTCTGATGAAGTTTTGGGCAGTGCAGTGACTGAGTGGTCAAAACATGTAATGGTTATATTTGACGCAGAGCGAGCAGACTCTCTTAGTAGTCTCTGGTTAATCAGAAGTAATCAGCTTTTTGAAAATACGTAAAGATGACCGAATCTTTTTGTTTCTCCTTGTCAAGCCTCTCTGATGAAGAACACCGGTCTACTGTTTGCCAACGATGCCAATAAGGACCGCGTGAAGGCGGTGGTGGGTAACATCCACAGATGTGGCATCACTAACACCGTGGTGTCTAATGAAGACGGCAGGTCATTTCCCAAGGTGAGTCACCGATTAACCTATGCAAACATACACTCCTTGCAAAGTTGTCCTTTCAGTTAAAGGGAATATACATCATTTGCTTTTGCTGTAATTTTCAGAAATGGATGGAATTGGGGGGTTGGAAATATATAGCAAATATAGTTACACTGACTTTTTTGAGGTTTTGGGTTCAAAAATGCTATAAAAACCAAGAAAAACAATCATTTTCCTGTAGTCTGGTTCCCTGACTCCATTTAAGAAGAAACAGAGCAGTTTACATACATTGGGGAATTGTAAGGTCAGGGAACCAGTCTAGCTGGCTTGTACCCGTTCATAGGTGTGTAATCGATTGCAGTATTTGGAAAAAGCCCGTTTTTTCCAACGCTGATTGGCCGATCAGCGTTGGAAATTGATACAAAAATACCACTTTTCTTGAAAATGACAGTATACCAGGTGCCATGATTTTACAGGATACTTTACACTGTCATTCACTAACAGTCCAGCAAGGTATTTCAAAATAATTTGGTAGTTTTATTTTTTGATGTTTGCAAATGTTGTATTTTCCCTTAAAAATCAGTTTAGTGACTGTTTTCAACAGTTATGAATTCCCAGCTGACATAAAGCAGGATTGACTGGCTGTGACTGTTTATGTAACTTGATACAGCTGTGCTTTTACTGTAGGTGATTGATAAGCCAGCTGTGCCTACCACTTGTCTGCCTTTGTCTGTTGACTGAATTTGACTTAGTCTGCACAGTGCTTGCTTGAAATGTGATCTGACGTTGGTGACTAGCCTGTGTAAAAGGCATGGCAGGGGACGATCTTTTTTGACTGTGACTGTTCAGATATCAGGCGGGTTAAGGGCTGTTGAAATGAATGTCACATTCCACCATATTTTGTGTGGATGTCCCTATTTCTGACTGGTATTAAATCGATGAAATCTCCAGTTGGAAGTAGGTTGGTTGTAAGACATTGAAAAAGCTGTCACAGACTGTTAATCTTAAAGGTTAGATGATTTTGTGTTTCGATCCTATAAACATAAACATAAAGTTCTCTGAGGTAGGCTTTTGAGAAAGTAACGCTAGGATCGGAGCGTTAGACACTCTATTTTTTGTAGTAAAACTTTGGTTTAAAAGGTCATGTTTTCACTGTTTATTTTTTCACTGCAATGTTTTTGTTTTTAATGTACCTCTGCTGGACGATTTTCAGAGATTTCAAAGATGGTTGGCAAATGCCATCATATTATCAAAATAGTGAAATTAATCTTTGGCTGATCCAGTTAACATATTTAGTCATCTTCAGAAAGACAGTTTTTTGTTAAATGTTCAACACCTAATTTGAAAAAAATTGTCAATCTAACTTTGACCTTGTTCACTACAGATCATTGGTGGCTTTGACCGTGTCCTACTAGATGCTCCTTGCAGCGGGACGGGCGTCATCTCCAAGGACGAGGCGGTCAAGTCAAGCAAGGACCACCTGGACATCCAGAGGTGTGCCCATCTCCAGAAGCAGCTGATTCTAGCAGCCATTGACTCAGTGGATGCTAAGTCATCGACCGGGGGCTACATTGTCTTCTCAACATGCTCCATATTGGTGAGTCTGGCATTTTCCAACACCTGTGTCCATAGGCAATTCAGTTTACCACAATAATTCTGCGAATGTAGGTGAACTGTTACTCTATGAGTTTGCATTTCAAAGATTGTGTTCTTCAACAAGTCAATAGAAATAATAATAACACTATTTATAGCGCACATTTTCGCAAGTTACAATGCGCGACTAAGGACAACTCCAGAAGACAAAGTTACAGATTATGTGGAGAGAACAGACAGTTTTCAGTCTGCCCTTAAAGTTGTCAAGAGAACTGATATTGCGGATCTTGTGTGATAAGGAATTCCAGCATCGGGGACCAGACACTGAGAAGGCCCTGTCCCCTGCCTTTATCCGATTACAACATTGATACCAAATCTAGGGTAATGGGTAGTCTAATTGTTCCTCATATGTAAGATTTTAGTTTTCAATATTAGTATTCTTGATAAAGATAGTTTACAGCAAGCTTATTTGTTGACATACCAAACAGCCACTATGGGCTCCATGCGCCAACAGAAGAGGGCGCTTTTGTTGCCACTTTTGAGGGCTCCGTGGATGGGACACTCCACGTACGTATGTACGTGTGCATACTGAACTTGTTCGCGCTCGACTTCCTGAATTCGCCAAAGCTATCAACCAAGGGGTCTTCGCATGAGCGTCAGGCATCATCGGCGCGTGTATGCGTTCGATCTTGCGATGGTCTCCCAGACTAATTCCCAACCCCAATAACCTTGGATCATTTGAAATACGCAGTGGATGGACCGGGAACCAGTCTCCCCCAACTGTCCTTTTCTGGCCGTTGAAGGGGTACTTGTGCACGGAGCCCATAGTGTCAAACTGCAAATTTCTGTGCGGATCCAGTGATGTTTATCCCAGACCAATAAGCTCATCAGTTGACAACAAATTTACCTTTTGTTTTTTTTTAAGGTTGAGGAGAATGAGTGCGTAGTGGACTATGCTTTGAAGAAACGTTCTGTCAAGGTGGTACCCACTGGTTTGGACTTTGGCAAAGAGGGCTTCACAAGGTAGGTAGTTATAAGTTTATGGTAGGCTTATATCTTTCAAACAGTTAACCAGAATTTAAATTTATATTGTAAATTGTCTTTCCCATTTTTTGGTTGTAAAGTCTGTTAATTTGCAATGTTCATTATTATAGTTATGTTGAATGGAAATAAATCAAATCAAAAATGAAAAAAAAAAAAAAAAAAGGAAGGAAATGTTTATCTATTTAAAGCCTGTCGTTTGATGAGATTACTCTTCTTTAGCCCTAAAAGTGCCTTTGTGAGACCTGCAGCTCAGACCATAAAAAACAGCGCTGTAACTTAGCTATCCCATACATTATGGGCCAACTCATTTTCTCTTTGCAAAGCATATGTGATGCGATCAAGCTAAATGAGTCTTTAGTCGACCCTTGTTAATTATTTTTTTACAGATTTGAAAAGAGCACAATCTCAGCATTACTGCTGTGAAAACCACATGCTGATACCATCTTTAGTTCAAAAATTGTGCAAGTCGGAACACCAAGAGATGTGATGATGTGATGTGATGAAGTGGCTTTATTTTGGTCTGAATCTCCAAATGAAAATTCCCGACAAACGACTCATTTGATTGCATCCCATATTCCCTGCTGCTCAAACAAGACTGGGCTCTCCGAAGTCAGCTGGACCCGAAGCATCAGTTTAGAGCATTAATTATACTCGGTAACTTAGTCAGTCATTCAGTCAGTGAATCAATCAGTCAGGGCATAAGAGTGAATGATTTTTTTGTGGGCTTCTGAAATTTCTTCTTCAGGATCAGGGAGAGACATTTCCATCCGTCACTGAAGCTGACCCGTCGATTCTACCCACACACCCACAACATGGACGGATTCTTTGTGGCCAAACTGAAGAAATACTCCAACAAGATTCCAGACAAACGTGAGCCAAGCATTCTCGGATCCCTATTAAACAAAATTGCTGTGATAAATTCAATGAATTGACAATGATCAGGCAAATCATTTCACTAAGGTTTTGGTTAATGGGTCCAATGAGGTTTGATGGCAAGATAGTTTAGCTTGGTCAAAAAGTGCCTGGTTTTAATGGAACAAATTTGAACAAATCAGGATAATGCTAAAAAAATCTACACATTAATGTAGAATCTCATGTCATTTTCAAAATTTTCCAACAAACTCAGGATGTCAAAGTAAGTTTAAAAAGGGAATATATGACCAATTTAAAAAAAAAAATGAAAAGAAATTTGTCACATTTTAATAATTTTGACTGTTGTTCACTTGGTTCATCACAGAGGATGCAAATGAGGAGGAAACTGAAGAGCAACCTGGGAAAGAAACAGCCAATGGAGACAAAGAAGAGGCTGTTGAAAATCCAGAGGAAGCAGAGCCAGCAACACCCGAGCCAGAAATCAAAGTGCAGCATACACCAGGGCATAAAAAGAGCAGGTTTTTCGCCCGCCGGAAACGGAAGGGCCCGGGCAGTGGGGGAGCCGGAAATAAGGAAAACCTCAACGGCAAGAGAAACAAAAAGTCAAAAGGAGGGGCAGGAGATTCTGGGGGAAAGTCGGACTCAAAACGGCAAGCACGTCTCCGGCAGTCAAGGAGAAGAAAGGGAAGAAAAAGACTCAATCGCCCAAGGGTGTTACTCCAAAACCCCCAGGTGCTAGGGACAAAATAACTGGACAAAAGAAGAAACGAGGCAGTGATGGTACGGGGGCGTCAGCCGGCGGCAAGAGAAAAAGAAAAGATGTTAATTGATCCGTTTGAGATTAGACTCTTTGTACCCACTTTATAACAATGGGTGTACAAATGGAGGGTATAACTAGGCTAAGGTGTAGGGAGGGGTGTAACTGGGGAGCTTGAAAGTTCTGGGGATCTTAGATCAGTTTGTTCTGTGAGAGATCTCAGTCTTTTATGAGGGATCTGAATCATCAACATGAACTTACAAAACCTTGAATCAGATCTTGCAAATCTCACTTTAATACCTCTCGCTCTTGACACCGGTGAATGGCAAAACCTAGTATTGAATTTTTCATTTCCAGAGCCGAAAATGTCTATCACACTAGCCCAATTTATAGGGACATACTTTAGGAAGAGGAATGCCCATTGAACCTCTGGATCGAGTGCTGCAGTAATATTGACTTTATAATATGAGATTATTTTTTGGATTGTCTGATACGTGGATAATTTTCCTTCATTTTATAAAAAAAAAATATTAAAAGAAAATGGCAGTTTCAGCCCTGGCGTATTATTAACTAGTCTTCAAGTAAAAAAAATAACTTCCGATATTGAACATGTTTACAATATTCCAGCATTAAACTGGGTCTACTGTTGGATTTTTCCATATTGAAATATTGCTTGAGAGCTCTTCGCTTTTGCAGGATACATGGTATTGTTTCATTTTAAGATCAAATAATTTTTTTTTTGGGGGGGGGGGGAGCGGGGGACAGAAATGCAACCTACAAATGAGAATCTATGTGATGCTTAAACCCTAAAACATTTCCATGTTTTATCAGTTTGTACAAGATAATTATGTTACTCATTCTTTCCTTTGAGACATTTTCTTTTAGTTTTATTTAAAATATAACATCTGCAAAACTAATGTCAATTTTATCAAGTTTCACTATTTTAAGTCGGCTTTGTTTATCTCACATGTCACTCGATTTGAAATTCAGTTTGTAAATATATGCAGATTTGAGTTTTATAGATATTTCCATTTTTGGGGATAATTGGACAGTTCGATTTTACTCTCTTTTCCCATGATAATTACAACTTTTATTTTTGATTATAATCAATTCCATTATGTGCACTTGCATTGTCGTTCATTTTTTAATACTCCAATAAACCAATACAATGCATGGATTGTATTTATTATGGCATTAGTTTCTTTTGTTTCGTTATTATTATCACGTTTGCTAAAAACAAATTAAGAAATGAGGATGTCAAAGTGCACCAAAAGGTGGTGTGGGTGAGCGATTGAATATTTGTGTAAAAAAAAATCGGCATCAAAAATAAGTAATTCATGTGGTTCTTTTAGGGCCACCATCAAACATTGAACTTTTATTTGATACAGCAAATGAGAATAACCAATTTAATGGCAAAGGAAAGATTGCCATATCTGGCCATCACTTGTCACCCTATGCACAAACCTTAAGTCTGAACATTTCTAAGTCTTTTTTCAGCAAATACTTCAGTATTTTTCAACAATATTTTTTAGGACATATCACTTTCTGATGGCTGATAGGTCACGTCACTGAAGGAAAAAAAAAATTAGTGATGGCAAGATATGTGAATCTTTTCCATGGCAAAATTTTTTTTTGACACTGTGGTCCTTCAACAGCGCCCTCAATATTGTTCCTGGACGACTCCATAAAAACTTGCCTGGTTTACATAAAAACAGATTATTGAACATGTTAAACCTCGGGCCACACTCGGAAAATAATTGTGGCTACCTTTCCCGTAAATTTTCCCAGGCCAGCCGTAAGCCATGGGGTTGACTTTGAAGACCAAGAAGCGACTCACAAACTTCGCACAGTCCATCTTCTTTTTACTTGGTGGAATAGAATATGGTAAGCATACCGAGTTGAAAATGTTTCACATTTTGTGCCACTTTATCTGCATTAACGTTGCGCTTTGAGTCATGTGAGTTGACTCCCGATCCCGCCCCTCCCCCCTCCCCCCTCCCCGCCAACTCCAACTAGCCAAACTTCCTAGTTGACACATCCAAATTCATGCAGTAGAATGAATGTTGGTACTCTAAACTTCAGAAAATTTGCTAATAAAATCTGATGATAATTTAATTGACCTGAATTTTCGCTTAAACTATTTAGGCCTACATGTAGGCCTAGTTCGAAAATCCTTGGCCTAACCTTCTGTCCGGAAATTGGGCACAAATCGGGCGGAGGGTTTCCAAATTGGAGTGGTAGGACATGGTCGGACTATCACCTGACCATGTCCAAATGTTAAAAAAAGCGATCCGTAGAGTCCTAGTTACTCGGAGTACATTTTAACACCACGCACATACATCCAACGAATCAAAACTTGTTTTGTGGGGCACATTTTTTACCGAGTCAAGACAGTGTGGATTAACACCATGAACAGTCATTAGCAATTTCCTCTCTGTATTAAATTATTATTAACCTAATCCTACTAAAAACATTAGTTTTGTACTTGCAAGAACATACATTTTCATCCTTTTCTAAATTGTGTTAAATTAAATATCATTACCTTCATCTTTTCTTTCTGATTTATGCTTTTTCATACTTTTCTCCGTGCTGTTACTTAAAATCTGAAAAATATATATGATTTATACAAAATTACACAAAAACCTATTAAATTTAAAGAGAAACGGATCACTATAAAGTGTAAGCTCATTAAACTAAGTGGTGCAAAGGTACCGGTACTTTGGTCTTTATGCACAAAGGGCATAGGCCTACCGGTATTTTTACGCTGTGTGTGGGCTATATTTACTTCACGTTATCACTAGGAAATTTCAAGATTACTATCTTAAAAATTTGTTGATTTTGAAGTCCTTGACCTAATCAACCGAGTCATGCACGTGATTGTCATGGGATTGTGCACGTGTATATAAACAAGCGGTTGAGTTTATGAAAAAAAAATTTGTAGCATAGTACAAGAATGCATTTTTTGGTTATTTTTTGTACCTTTATTAAACCAAGAAATGGAACAGAATATTAAACGAACATTTAAAAAGCCATTTTGCTGTTCTGAGAGTATTTCCCCCCTAAAATATACGTTGGTCATTAGTATTAGTTGCCAAATCTGATTCAGTCCTGTTCAGTCCAAATTCATGTAAAAACATCAACAACAACAAAATTGCTGTAAAACCAATTGACCTAGGATTGTCCCCATGGACTTAATTCACGAGTCGGCCGTATTAAATTGAAAGCGAAGTAAAATCTTCATTTTTGGAACTTGCGAGTAGAAATGTAAGAAACAAAATGAAGTTACTCAATATTGGTTTTGCTTTTCACCGACATTCATGTGAACACTGTATACTCAGTGTGTTACCTCCCGAGTGAACGTTGGAAAAAATTAAAAAGTTGGAAATAAAGTTAATTACAAAGACTGCTCTGATAAATAAAATGAATTTAATTAAACACAGTGCAAAGAATTTGTCACCGTTTTCATGAGCTGACACTTACGCTATTGGGTGTCAGTTTGTGAAAACCGCCTACAACAATTTTGGTTTCACGAACTGATATCCGGTTGTGTGTGCGCACAACGCGCTGCCGATCTAGTCTTTTCATTCTATATCTATGGTTTACGGGCTGAAACACGCGCTAATGTCTTTCACACCAATTTTGTGCGCGAGACGTATTCACTTCGATACTTCATGCTGGGGTCGCCATGCATTGGTGTATTTTGATGGATCCTATGCAACAACACACATCACAATTTTCATGCGAGTATCCTGAATTCAATATCCATGGTATCCTGAATCCGTCAAAATCCACCAGAAATTTAGGTGATGGATTTTGAAGACTCTATGGAAAAACATGCTGTATTTTGTTTTATGCCACCATGGTATCCTGAATCCGCCAGAATCCATCAAGACTTTTGCTGGTGGATTCTGGCGGATTCAGGATACCTCCAGTATCTACACTGGGGGATTCTGATGGATTCAGGATACCAGCATTTTTTGCATGACAAAATTGGTGGATTTTGGCGGATTCAGGATACTTTCTAGTAAAAGAGCCCCAGGAGTTAGGGTTAAAGCAGAACTAGTGACATCATGGAGCAGTGCAGAGGATTTATGTACCACTGAGCTTAAGGTTGCAGACCAGTAAATCGGTCCGAAATTGCCTGCGCCGGCCAAATCACGATTTGCATGCCCTCAAAATCTTCAGTATTTGAGCATGCTGTGGGCCATGAACTTGAGGGTTTGTAAAAAAAAATATGGGTGGAAGCCGTGCACAGGACTGTGAACTTGTAGTTTCATTCAATTTGGATGAAATTGGGGCCCTTAAAGCGCTCTATTTTGAAATGGAGTGTAGGCATCGTTTTTCAAAATGGCGATGGGCTTCTGGACTGTTTTCAGGGGTGATCATCTTCGGATGGAAATTTCTCCTAAAAGTCATCAGTTGACCCCCGAATTGAAAAGAAAACGAAAGATGATGAAATAAGCTTTAATTTGATGTGTGTCCCGAACACCTTGGAGAGTTGTGAGTATTTTTCCTGAATTTCTGAAGTGGGAGCATTTACCATTGGGGTCTATGGAAGTTTATTTAGGCCTACTGGTCTGCAACCATAACCAACACAAGGTCCAGCCCAAGACTTTGACACAGTGCATCCTGCAAAATCAGCCACACATTTTTTCCCATGATGTAGCCTCAATCCTACAAAATCCTCCATTTTGCTAAAGGGATTTTGGCAGATTTGGGAAGGTGAGGGATAATAGTACATGTGTAGTATTTGGAATGCGTACATGGAAAACGTAATCATGTACGCATTGCACTCATGCAGTGTTCGACAAAATCTATATGCAGTACAGGATTCAACATTTGAAAACTCGATTGGCCTCATGCAACCCCAGCCAGCAGTCAGTTGATAATATCTTTGATGGTGTTTTATCAGGGATTTTAATATGATAAGATATTCTTTGTTGTTGGATGACCTTCCAGTAACCTGAGCTGGACTCGATTTGTTTAGATAGATAATTTTAAAAACTTTACAACTTTTTGTTGTTGAATCTTTTGTCTTCGAGGGGTGTAGTTAAATGGAGTTGTGTAGTGTGTAGATGTTTGATCTTAACTGAGGATTATTTGTGAGAACAGTTTTGGAAAATATTCATTTCATTAGCAGAGCTCGAAAAATTTTTAATTTTTTAAATCTTACTATTACATGCACTGTTGATAACAAGGTTTGTTTTGTCATATTTGAGCTGGTACTGGTGGATTTTATAGCTGTGATATTTTAACACATGCTGAAAGACCAATAAAGGTTACACCGCATTTATTCAAGGATAAAATCATGATTGATCACCCTCAATTCTTCGTCTACTTGATTAAGGTAACTCCCCTGCAAAGCTTTGAGAGCACAAACAAATAGTTGCTGCATATAGCAATATTAAGGAAGTGTACAATGTAACTGAATGTTTTTAAAAATGTAAAAAAAAAAAAATTGTCTTTGGATACTGAATTGAATCATGATCGTGCAACATTTTAAAGATGGTGAATTTGTCTTTCTCTTTTTCGATTCACAGCCGTTGTTCTGCCAACACTCAATGAGTACTTGGGCCATCTGGATGGCGATCCCTTATTCTTTGGCATGGTCATGGCTGCGTTTAGCTTCAGTGGAGTGCTAGTGTCACCGCTCTATGGTCTTATCCAGGACCGCATTCATAAAACAAAAGTTCTTATTTTGTTTGCAAATCTGTGGGAAATAGGGGGTAAGTTTGATGAATGATGTTACTAGTACCCAGCCTGTCACAATCCAGTCCATCCCAACCCAGCCCAGCCCAGCCCAGCCCAGCCCAGTCCAGCCCAACCCAGCCAAGCCCAGTCCAGCCCAACCCAGCCAAGCCCTGCCCAGCCAAGCCCAGCCCAGCCCAGCCCAGCCCAGCCCAGCCCAGCCCAGCCCAGCCCAGCCCAGTCCAGCCCAGTCCAGTCCAGCCCAGCCCAGCCCAGCCCAGCCCAGCCCAGCCCAGCCCAACCAACCAACCCCATAACATATCCCAACCCAACCCGCAACCCAGCCCAACCCAGACATACATCCCAGCCAAGTCAATCGATGTAGCCAATCCAACCCGGCCCGGCCCAGCCCAGCCCGGCCCAGCCCAGCCCAGCCCAGCCCAGTCCAGTCCAGCCCAGCCCAGCCCAGCCCAGCCCAGCCCAACCAACCAACCCCATAACATATCCCAACCCAACCCGCAACCCAGCCCAACCCAGACATACCCATCCCAGCCAAGTCAATCGATGTAGCCAATCCGACCCAGCCCAGCCCGGCCCGGCCCGGCCCAGCCCAGCCAACCCAAACCAAATCAGCCCAGCCCAGCCCAGCCCAGTCCATCCCAACCCAACTCCATAACCCATCCCAACCCAACCCGCAGCCCATCCCAACCCAGCCATACATACCCATCCCAACCAAGTCAATCAATGTAGCCAATCAAGCCAGCCTCTTTCTTTTTTGTGTTTCAGGCAATTTTCTGTACTTTTATGGAGGTTCCAAGTACGTCCTGCTGGGCAGTAGGTTACTCTGCGGTAAGAAAAAATTCAGTTCATTGTCCATTGCAACATTCACCTGTCACATTCTGACCAGAAGCTTTCTTAAAGCTTATTGCAAGACCTGGATTTGCTTGTACCTACATGGGGACATCGACTGAACATGCTCTTGAACCCTAACCGCCCTGAATCCTCCAAAATCCTTTTTGCAAATTGGAGGAATTTGCAGGATTGAGGTTACATGGCCAAAGTGCATTGCTGATTTCGGAGTACGCACTGTGTCAAGGTCTTTGGCCGGACCTTGTGTTGTTTATTCTCAGCCGTGCATAAATTTAGTCCTTGATTATACTTGACATCCTCCGCACTGCTCCAGGATGTCACTGCCTCTGCCTCAGCCTATTGACAGTCATAGCCGGAGGATTTTGCAGGATTCAGGCAGTGGTCACCCCTCCATGGACCATATTCAAGAAACAACGGAGGAATTTGCAGGATTGAGGCTATATGCTATTTTTCCCTGAGGCCAATTGTAGGATTTTGCAGGATTGAGGCTACATCCTAGCAAAAAGGCCTAGGGAGTTAGGGTTAAATTGCCCTCGTTGCTTTGTTTTACTTTACCATTTGGGGTCTTCTTGAAAGAGACGAAGATAAAGCAGAAAATTGTGTTAGCCTGAGCCAGTGGTGTGTATTTCTGGATGGGAACGTACATAAACAATGGAAGGCTCCTTATTCATGTATTGGCTGTTTGGTAATAACCCCTACCCCTCCTTCTAGGACTTGGTGCTGGTGTCGGATCGGCCATCTTTGCACAAATCTCTCGAACGTCCACAGAGAGGGACCGAGCCTCAGCCCTATCCGTTGCGTCAGCGGCTCGGCAAATCGGTCTGCTGCTCGGTCCAGCCCTCAATCTACCACTCAACATCTGTAACTTCTACATCGGACCGTTCCATGTCAACAATTTCACCGGACCAGGGGTAAGTTGCAGCACCTCACGATCAATTTTACTAGAGTTTAGGCAAAAAAAAAAAATATTCGGTCTCTGGTCAGACCAAAGTTCCGGAATTGACGCGGCCACGCGGCTTTTTTTTTTTTTCTTCAAGCTTGGATTGTACAGACAAGGTGGGTACTATTTTGCTTTTTTGGTGTCCTCATGTACATTGATGTCCTTCATAATTTGCCTTGGTGCTTTCGATCATTTGCCTTGGTGCAATTTCCCATTCCTTGTGCTCTTTGGTAAAAAAAATTGAGGAGGTGCGGAAATAGAGGGCGCTGTTGGAGCTACCGCGGAACATTTTGGGGAAAAAAAAGATCGACGCGCATGCTTAAAATCGACACGCGCGCTGACCAGAGACCGACTTTTTTTTTTTTGGCCTTACAGTGGTTGCACTAGTAATCACTTCGTCTAGCCCAAACATTTTCAACTTTTAAAAATTTTCTGAAGAACTTTCTTAACTTTAATACAGGGATGTAAGTCCTCCTGCGGTCTTTTTTTTTAGATTGTAAATAGCATATTGGCACCACATGTTTGTATACTTCTCCTTTATACGTGTACCTCAAATTTCAGGCAAAAATGTCAGAGTCCACTTACCACCTTGTTAACCAGTTCTCGCCGGGATTATTTTGACATTGACTGGACCCAGGCGCGGGATTGTTTTCACGAACCTCGATGCCAGACGGGTTCAAGCCGTCATCTGCGGGTAGCACACCCTGATATTTCCGGCCTCGCTCGCTACGAGCGGGTCGCAGACAGATATTTCTGGCCTCGCTCGTTGCGTGTTTAACCGTCATCCGCTCTGAAAACCGCAAAACCTTTGCGTGTATACACGTCATCCGATGTGAACTGGTTAATAAACACTTTTGTAACTTTTCACCAACCCTGAAATTTCATGGAATTGTTTTAATTTTCTTACCTTAAAGTTATAAACAGGCATGCAACGTTTTCTTGGATCTGCTGATTTCCTCATATATAACTGCACTCTTATGCCATTAAAAATTGGAAAAACAGTGTTAAAAGTCTTGTAAAGATTGGATTTTTTTTTTTTTTTAGTTACTTCACAGTTGCATGGCTGTTTAAACTAAAGTGTCCAGAATACAACTGAATAACCTTCAAGGTTTGCAGGGGAATACATTACAAATTGTTTAAAAAAATAAATATTTTGTTTACAGTTTTTACAATTTCTTACATTTGTAAAAATTGGAAAACGGGAAAAAAAATTGAAATTTTTTTCAGTTAGCTCGGCAGTCAGATTTTTATGTATCTAAATGTTTTCTCCAGATTTTGATGTGCATCCTCTTCATCATCATGCAAGTCCTCATCTTCTTCTGTTTCTACGACATCCCACCTCTCGAAGAACAAACAGAGTGTGAAAATGAAGACGGCAAATCGGACCCCGTCGTTGTCGGAAGTGTACAAGCCCAATCAGATTCCTGTGATCCAAGCTCAGTTTGTTTTCAAGAAGGCGCAAACAGGGACATTGTCAATGGTGGCTTTTATGACTCGCACACCACGGACTCTTCACAGGGTAGATGCCAAAGACTGAATAGTGGACGTGCAGTGTGCAATGCTGTCCAACTGTCTGACGAAACTAGCACTAGCAGCAGCGACGAGAAGAAGACCTTTTCAAAGCTTGATGGTGAGATTTCCTATAGTGTTAAGTCAAAATAAAAAAGTTTGAAGGGTTTTTAAATTAAAGGGAATGTACAACATTTGCTTTTGCTTCAATTTTCAGAAACAAATGGATTTGGAGGATTAGTATGTTATAGCAAATATTGTTAAAATGACTTGTTTCACGTTTTGGGCTTGTAGATGCTGGAAAAACCAAGAAAATCATTCATTTTCTTGTAGTCTGGTTCCCTGACCCCACTTTAAAGATGAAACGCCGGGATAATTTATAGACTTTGGGGGAATTGTTAGTTCAGAGAATCGGTCTAGCAGGCTTGTACCCCTTCACAGGTGTGTAATCAATCGCAAATAGTTTTTGCAGTTTTTGCAGCAAAGAGTTTGCAAGCAGTTTTTGAAAAAAGCCAGTTTTCTCCAACACTGGTTGGCCGACCAGCGTTGGAAAAATACCATTTTTCTTGAAAATGTTGGCACACCAGGAGCCACGATTTTACAGGATGCTTTTAGACTGTCATTCCCTAACAATTCAGTAAGGTATTTTGTGATAATTTGATCATTTCGTTTTGAGATGTTTGCAAATGTTGTATCTTCCCTTTAAGCATTTGCTTGTTGGAAACGTCTTCACATAAAAGTAATACACACTTGAGGCTAGGGTGCCTAGCGAAAATGACGCTCAAGTGTCTTTCAATAGTTCTCTTTGCATTTTACCATTGAAGGGTCTTTAAAGGGAATATACATCATTTGCTTTTGCTGTAATTTTCAGAAATGGATGGAATTGTGGGGTTGGAAATATATATAGCAAATATAGTTACACTGACTTTTTTGAGGTTTTGGGTTCGAAAATGCTATAAAAACCAAGAAAAACAATCATTTTCCTGTAGTCTGGTTCCCTGACTTCATATAAGAAGAAACAGAGCAGTTTACATACATTGGGGAACCAGTCTAGCTGGCTTGTACCTGTTCATAGGTGTGTAATTGATTGCAAACAAGTGCGATGGTCAATTGGGGCCAGTATTTGAAGAAAAAAACAGTTTTTTCCAACGCTGGTCGGCCGACCAGCGTTGGAAATTGATACAAAAATACCACTTTTCTTGAAAATGACAGTATACCAGGTGCCATGATTTTACAGGATGCTTTACACTGTCATTCACTAACAGTACAGCAAGGTATTTCAAAATGATTTGGTAGCTTTATTTTTTGATGTTTGCAAATGTTGTATTTTCCCTTTAACTTTGTTATAATTATTTCTCCCTGTGCAGTATTCTTGAAGGAAGAAGTATTGGTGCTACTGACTGCACAGTTTGTCTTCTTGTTCAACCAAACATGTCTTGAGGTAAGCCAATCTTGCTGTTTATGGGATAACTTTCTATTCAAGAGAACTTTGTTTTAGAGCACAGTTTTCTTACAGTGTGTTTTCACAGGTAGTTAGTTTTTACATTTTGAAATTCGAAAGGAAGAACAACTCTCTCATTTTTGCTGAATTATTGTTGTTGTTGTTTTTTTCATGTGTATAGACCAGTGTAACAGTGATGACAAAGAGGTTACTTGACTTCGGCGGTGTGGAGAACAGTATCCTCTATGCTGTTGCTGGCTTCGAGGTGACTTACTAGAAGTTGATTTTAGAAGTTGACTTTTTTTACTTTTTTTGTTACAATTTTAAATTGCATTTACTTAACAGGGTCAAATTTTCTCTTTCAAAGTTCTCTTCAAAGGAACTGTCTCAATCCTATCCTCTCTAACCCTATCAAAATTCATCCTCCCATTCCGGTAGATTTTGGGGGACTTGGTCCTGCAGGCCTGGTTTGACTAAACATTGATGGATTATGATGGACTTGGGCCTGGAGGCCTAAAGCAAAGCATGCATTGGAAGCAGTGTGATTGATGGATTTTGGCGGACTTGGCCGAGTACTTAGTAAAAGACAGTAGGGAGTTGGGGTTAAACTAGGCCAACATTCACTCTAAAGCTCTCAGTTACTTTTCACTATAAGAACTTTCCTGAATACTCCCAAATCTATTCTACATTTCAGTCAGCACCAGTATTCAACTTTGAAACATCAACCTTTGATACCTTCCTCAATCCTGCAAAATTCTCCAAAACATGGATTATGAAGGAGTTTGAAAGATCTCTGAATCTGTTGGATTGTAAAGGACTCGTGAGGATTATGTTAGATAAGTTTGTGTTTGCACCATTGTGCCAAATCTCTTTTGTGAGTTGCTGAGGTTCTGAAAATGATTAGGTTTGGTAAAACTTAAGTTGTATCTGCTCCGCTCACAAGTACCCCTTCACCGGCATAGCACAAATCCCCTGGTGTACGTGCGTTACACACAAGCAACGGTGCGCGCACGTCAACCAGCGAAATGTACGTGTCCCACCCATGGGACGTCGTTGCTAGGTAAAAAGGCGCCCTCTTTTGTTGGCGCATGGAGCCCCTACCTGACTTCTTTTCTTCTTCTTTTGCCACAGCTTCTCCTCAGTTTCGTCGTCATCAAGTGCATCAGCAAGGTGGTCTCAGACCGTGCCATGATTTTCGGGGCACTGACTGTCGAGATAGTGCCCTATATTCTGCTGTTGGTATTCTATCCACATGCCACCCCAGGTCAGAATTACCATTTTGGATGTGCATTAAAGGGAAAATACAACATTTGCAAACATCAAAAAATAAAACTACCAAATCATTTTGAAATACCTTGCTGGACTGTTAGTGAATGACAGTGTAAAGCATCCTGTAAAATCATGGCACCTGGTATACTGTCATTTTCAAGAAAAGTGTTATTTTTGTATCAATTTCCAACGCTGATCGGCCGACCAGCGTTGGAAAAAACTGGCTTTTTTTCAAATACTGGCCCCAATTGACCATCGCACTTGTTTGCAATCGATTACACACCTATGAACGGGTACAAGCCAGCTAGACTGGTTCCCTGAACTTACAATTCCCCAATGTATGTAAACTGCTCTGTTTCTTCTTATAGGGAGTCAGGGAACCAGACTACAGGAAAATGATTGTTTTTCTTGGTTTTTATAGCATTTTCGAACCCAAAACCTCAAAAAAGTCAGTGTAACTATATATTGCTAGATATTTCCAACCCCCCAATTCCATCCATTTCTGAAAATTACAGCAAAAGCAAATGATGTATATTCCCTTTAATCAAATGCATCTTTAACCCTCCTATGCAAACATATATTCTGCGCAAAGTTTGGCTTTCAGTCAAAATCAACAAGTGACTGTGTTTAACATTTAAAGCTCCCAGCCCACATAAAGCAGGATTGACTGGCTGTGACTGTTTTTGTAACTTGATACAGCTATGGTTGGCCGTTATTGAAGACCAACATCGGCTCGGGGCCTGGTTGCCGATAATAGCTTGAGCTGAGTATCAGCGTCCATTCCCTGAACCAAGCACACATTTATTCCCTCAGCATAGGAAGGCTCTTGTTAAGGAAACATCACCATGGCAAGTGTAAAAATGTTAAACATTTACCATCTATGACGTCAATCACTGACAGGGAAGCTTTAACAGTTTGATTAAATCTTGCTTCGTTTTCCAGGAAGGGACAAAAACCTGTGGTGGTTTGCAACCCTTTTCATCGTCCAAGTTTCTGGTCTAGGTTTCCTCTTCATTGGACTAGTATCCTTGTTCTCCAAAGTCACTCCAGGTGCAATGCAAGGTGAGGCACAGACTAATACGTCGGCTACCATTACAGAAGGAGCATCATACTCGTGTCGCAAGTCATGTTCTGAGTTTGAGAACCCTATAGACCATTATCATGTTGCGGCCGTCTTGATTTTTTTCCCTTTCAAATCAATGTAACCAAAGCGAGGCTGGAAGGAGAAATAGTCTGGTTCCTTTTTGCACAAGAAACATTATCATTCAGTACTGTCATTGGATACAGGGAACATGACTGAAATGGTGGCAGCATGATAAAGGAAATGTGAGTGGTGTAAAAGTAACAGGAAAAATTCCATACATGGACATCACTCACTTTTCTCTGCAGTGACCTATCAACCATCTGAAAGCAATAACATGTCCTAAAAAGTCAAATTTAGCAGGGAAAATATTGAAGTATTTAGCGAGAAACACTTGGAATTTTTCAGACCAGTCTCGTAGAGTTTGTGCACAGGGTCCAAACTATTGTTTACTGCACAAGGGAAAAATATTTGTGTGGCTGTCTGCATGTTGGCAACCAACAGGCATGACGACACAGGTGACAATGTTAAGGAGGGTCTTTCGTAGTGAAAAAAAAATATAAAAAAATCCTATTTTATGATGTCACACAGCACTACAGTGGAACGCCGCTATACCGAACACCGCTATATCGAACATTCGGCTATATCGAACATTATCCTTGGCTCCCAGTTTTAATGTACAAAACGTACCGAACATCGTTGTTGAAAAAAGTCAACAGATTAACCACAAATTACCGGTTGTAAAATGTACATGGGTGTATTAAACACTATTTGGGCCACTTTTAATTCCCGAACATCAAACGACCCATAGTTACATTGTGTTCGAATGTTGAAGAGCGATAGATGGCTATTATTTCCCAAAGGAATAAAAGGGAAAATCATTGCTTAAGTTTCGTGACGACTCCTCGTGCGGCCGTGGGATGTGAGAAATGCCAGTTCACTATTGGTCAAAAGACGGTACCGGTGGTTCAAAATCGCTATACCGAACGATCGTTAGTACGAACACTTTCTGTGGATCCCACGATGTTTGTTATAGCGGCTTTCCACTGTTCAGCAGAACTTTATGGAAGTAGGAGGTAACACGAAGAAATGATAGTGTGAGCCACATAGAAGGTGTTTTTTTTTTAGGAATTTCAATGTTTTGGGTAAATTGCTGTCTTGGGGGTGGGGGCAGATGGAAATTCGTCCCTCTGCCAGACACAAGTGGGTGAATTTTCAAGACTTGAATAATTTAACGATCATGTAGTTGGAGATGCATCATGCACAAGTCAGCAACCCTGCATTCCCGAGTACGACGTGAAGCTTTTTGGGAAACGACTGGCCAAGTTTCCTTTCTTCCTTGCGCAGGTTTCGCTCAGGGAATCCGTCGAGCAGTGGGTGGAATCGGTACCATCATGGGCCCGCTGTGGGCGGGATGTATCGCTAACTGGCCGTTTGAGACGATAGCTGTCATGTTGGCCCTGTTCGTCTTGGTCATGGTAAGATAACACTTCAGTCGATTGGACAGCCGTGAAGCCATAAAAAAAAAGTTGCTTTCCTTCTGCAGAAAAGACACTTCCAGGGAAAATTGTCGCAATAGACCTCAGACCTAATGGCTTTGTTTACATATGTGCTTTCCTACGGGAGCAAAGATGGGACGCTAGACGAAGTAGGGACCGTCTACTACATAGGAAAGCGCACAGTTAAACAAAGCGTGACGTCATTAGGTCTCGGGTTTATTGATTGAAACTTTCGTTCCCTGAAAAGTCCCTCATAATTTTGTGTAGAAACACACCAGCGTTGGATAGGAATACATGTAGTCTTAAAACTATGGGTTGGGTTGGTTATAGTGCAAATTGTATACATTAGTTTAATAAGTCATGTCTCCTGTTTTGTTTTGTTTTGTTTTTCTTGTGGCAGAATTTTCATTTCAGTTTAAATCAATTAGAGTTTAATATTCAAGGTGAATTTCAAGGCAGTTCCAGCATCATGAACATTAAAAATCAGACTTTTTTGATATTTTAAGGGCTCAGTCAATAAACCTGAAAATGGATTTTTCAAATCTGGTAAATCCATCACGTAGCAATAGTCAAGGACATTATGACTACCAGTAGAAGTGTTGGATTATTTCACTTAAAGGGAAAATACAACATTTGCAAACATCAAAAAATAAAACTACCAAATCATTTTGAAATACCTTGCTGGACTGTTAGTGAACGACAGTGTAAAGCATCCTGTAAAATCATGGCACCTGGTATACTGTCATTTTCAAGAAAAGTGGTATTTTTGTATCAATTTCCAACGCTGATCGGCCAACCAGCGTTGGAAAAAACTGGCTTTTTTTTCAAATACTGGCCCCAATTGACCATCGCACTTGTTTGCAATCGATTACACACCTATGAACGGGTACAAGCCAGCTAGACTGGTTCCCTGACCTTACAATTCCCCAATGTATGTAAAATGCTCTGCTTCTTCTTATATGGAGTCAGGGAACCAGACCACAGGAAAATGATTGTTTTTCTTGGTTTTTATAGCATTTTCGAACCCAAAACCTCAAAAAAGTCAGTGTAACTATATTTGCTATATATTTCCAACCCCCCCAATTCCATCCATTTCTGAAAATTACAGCAAAAGCAAATGATGTATATTCCCTTTAAGTCATGAGATATTAAAACATTACACTTTCTTCCATATTGCTGGAATTGACCATAGCCTAAATTTCATGACATCACATTTTGATTGGCACATCGCTCGCATACACGTACGGGTATTACTTTTGTTCACTGCACACACTCTCATTGCTTGGTTTTCAAACCAGATGATAAATATCTCGTTCAGCAGTGTCTGGTAGGTAACATGGTCAGTTTTGATTCCTTAATTGAATCGAATACTGGAACTTACTTTTGCAACTGTGCGACGTTGCGTCCGAAACCATCGGACTTCGTCAGGCAACTGGTGACCCGGTGGACTGGTTACGTGAGAGACGGCTAGGAATCCCTTGAATCGGAGTCTTACGTTGGGGAAACCAAACAATCCCTAAAATCCAGGATCTACCAACATCGGCGGCCTAGCACTAACGAGGCACAAAACTCTGCTGTCTTCTTACATCTACGAGACTCTGGTCACACTCTCAGAAATGAGGATGTGGTGATCCTTGATAAGGAAGAGCAGTGGCACTAAAGAGGCATCAAGGAAGCCATCTGGGAAAGGGTCGAACAACCAACTCTGAACAAGAGAGGGGGGCTGCGCTTCAACCTATCACATGCATGGGACCGGGCCATTCCAAGGGCGGATCCAGATCCCAATTTTTTGGGGGGGGGGGGGTCAAAAAAAATTTGGTCCCCCAAAAAAGTGGGTCAAACATTTTTTTGGATTCTAGATGCTCTGTGGTGAGATCTGAGGCAATTTCTGACCACCTTAACCAATGGTTTTTTGAGGAAAAGATGGTGGTGTACTCATTGCCTGTCTTTATTGCGATGTCACATAAAAAAAATTTAAAAATAGGTTTTGTTTGGGGGGGGGCCATGGCCCCCTTTGGCCCCCCCCCCCCCCCCCCCCCCCCCCCCCCCGGATCTGCCCTTGGGCCATTCAAGAAATTCCTAGCCGTCTCTCACGTGACCAGCCCACCGGGTCACCAGTTGCCTGACGAAGTCCGATGGTTTCGGACGCAACGTCGCACAGTTGCAAAAGATAAGTTCCAGTATTCGATTCAATTAAGAAATCATCTACTACTACTGGATGACTGATAACATACATTATCATGGTCAGTTTTGTTCACCATTTTGTATTGCAGGGCATGAATGTGCTGTCGTGGAAACGTCTCAAGCCACATTCTGACATCACCGACTCCCGACAAGCGCCGGCACGGGACGATCTAAATGAGGAAGCCAAACCGTTACTTAATATCAACGCAGACGAAACAGATTATGGGTTAGTGGATTGAAGAGTGCACAACAGGCCTCACGGCAAATCCCTTAAAACCTAAAACAACTCTATTTCAACTTTGGAGCCTGGTTTTTTTCTAATTATTATTATAAAAAATATTAAAGTAATCCATAACCTATAAAAACCTATATTTGTATTCTGCCATACATTTTTACAAAGTTTTAACATCAATTTGACCCCCAATTTAGTTATTATAATTGCAACAGAGTGTTTATTGGTGTTACATGTAGGTAACTTTGTCTAGTGTGGAGAACTTGAGGTATTAGATTCACTGTATTTCTGCTACCTCATGTTGAAAAATTGCACCCTCAATTATATTTTGGCACTTGGAAAACCTTTCAAACCTGCAGGGTGACCCCCAAAAAATGCAACCATAAAATGTTCGCCTTTTCTAAAAAAAAAAAAAAAAAAAAAATAGGATCAATGGATTTTTATGTTTAGGGTATCAGATTAAAGCTGAGAGCTTTTTCTTTCACATACTGAAAAAAATCATGAAAATAGCACTTTGGGTTGCTGAGAAAATGCCAACTATGTAAAAGTAGTCATTTTTCATCATGTACACAAGTACTTCAAACAGTGAAACATTTTACTGTAAGCCTACTGTGCAATTATCCTTCATTTGTGCAATTTCTTTAGTATTTTGACATATTTATGATGCTGAAAGGGTTTAGAATAGGACTAAAAGGTACCTGATCAGGTGGGAAAAAAAGGTATTTCCATCAAATTCATTTGTACTCTTGTCATATTATGTGCCATGTTCTTTGTAAGGATTTAGGACATGCACAATTAGGTACAGTGAAAATCCCTTACCGTGGTAATGTTTTGTGTACAGGATAAAAAATGCATACTTTTACATCATTGGCATTTTCTCAGCAACACAAACTGCTATTTTTATGATTTTTTCAGTATTTGAAAGAAAAACTGAGCTCTCAGCTTTAAATCTGATACCCAAAACATAAAAATCCACCGATCCCTTTTTTTTTTTTTTTTTTTTTTTTTTTTTAAAGGCAAATGTTTTAGGGTTGCATTTTTTTTTTGGGGGGGGGGTCACCCTGTATATCTCCTGGAATATCTGGGATAACTTGAGGACAAATTAACCCACAAAATTGGGACGTTACAACAGGTGTTTCTTGCAGGATTCTGAATAACTTCCCCGGAATCATCGCAATTTTAACCAGAAAATGTTCACCTTAATTGCCCGTATAAGTCCTATGGTAAAAATGGCAGACAATTGTTCGGAACGATCACTATTGGAGACGACCCCGCATGGACGTCACACTTCTACGGCATATTGCGGGAAGATAACAGGGTCGTTGTTCATCAGAACCCTGCAAGTAATACCTGATACAACGGGTCTATTACGGATAAACTTGTCATCAACTTATCCCAGATGCGTTCAACAAGTTTTATTATTTTCTCTTAAAATTGCATTACCTGTGCTATCTTCAAGTTTCATCCAGAAAAAAAAAATCCTTTTCTAAATTGCAATTTTTCCAGGAATATTAATAACGTTATTCACTTCTGAATGAGCCATCGACGGAAAAAAAATCACTCTGTGTTTAGTTAGTTAATTAATACTTTACAAATTTCAAATTACTTGTGGTCCAACAGTTATTCTGCCTCGCGCGGAGTGGTTTAACCCCACAAATAGTGATGTAAGAATGGAATCTATTTGTGATGAAAATTGAAAATGGCATGGGACGTGCAACAATAATGGGATGACTTCAAAGCAGGTTATTCATAAAATGGAATTTTTTCAATTTTTCCATTTTTCACTCGGGAGGTAACACACTGAGTATACAGTGTTTATACGTCGGTGAAGGGCAAAACCTAATTTGATTTAAAAGCAGGTCTTGGGTTCGAGTCCCACCCAGAGTAAACTAGTGAACTATTCTTGTAAGCTGTCACAAAGCACTGAATTAACAGTGCTCCTTTAAAAGTCACATTGTTGCAGGGCAAACGAAATCTCAAAATTTCCTGAGATTATTTAAGTTTGTAAATTAATTTTAGAGTAGGGCTTGCAAATTGTTTTACTTCTAAACAGTACGTTTGTGTGAAGCGTTCAATGGGCAGGTAGTAACTTAGTATTTTATACGTGCACTAGTTACAAGCTTATGGCCAAATCCGGTAGTTCAATTAACTGTGATGGAAATAATCTGTCATTTCATTTCTATGCAGTGTATATTTAATTTAAAATATGGCATGTTCATGTACATGCCAAAAGTCTTAAAGGGAATATACAACATTTGCAAACATCGAAAAATAAAACTACCAAGATTTTACGAAATACCTTACTAGGATGTTGGTTAATGACAGTCTAAAGCATCCTGTAAAATTATGGCACCTGGTGTGAAGTCATTTTCAAGAAAATGGTATTTTTGTATAAATTTCCAACGGTGGTCGGCCGACCACCGTTGGAAAAACCTGACTATTTTTCAACTACTGATCTAAATTTACCATTTTTTCAGTCCAAATTTTGTTTGCTATTGGTTGCATTTTTATGAATGGGTGCAGGTAGGCTAGACTGGTTCCCTTACCTTACCATTTTTCGGCATCTATAAATATTGATCTATTTCATCTTGAGTGGAGTCAGGGAACCAGACTGCTTAAACATTTTTGTTTTTCTTGGTTTTTCCAGCATTTTCGAACACAAAACTTCAAACAAGTTAGTGTAACAATATTTGATCTATTATACTAACCCCTCAAATAGTTCATTTCTAAAAATTACAGCAAAAGCCAATGATGTACATTCCCTTTAAATCATTCCCATCTTTCATTGTATCTTATTTGTTACTTGTTAGAAAAAGAAAATTAGTTATGACAGTTGTATTGTTGCACCCGTTTTCTGAGATGAGTTTTGCGCACATTTAATTGTCCCTTATATTTTTCTATAGCGGATCATATTTTAAGTAATTAATATATTATATGGTAAATTTGTATGTATTCAGTTGCACAATAATAAACTTTAAAAAATTCTGAATTTAAAATTTGCATAATCTATTTTTGTAATAGGAAAGTAATTTTTCATTTCAAACTTTGTAAAGTTTTAATTCGTTATTTACAAAATGTCAACAGAATTATTGATGTTTATATGAGATAAAAAATTGAAGTCTCGCCGTAACAGAAAAGTTTATTTAATCATATTTTTAGACTGTGATATCGAATTTGTGAGAAATAAATTAACATTTTTGACTGATTACCCCATATTTTTGTCCAAATTTTTCTTTAGAAAAGCATATCTTTCTACAAATGGAGTTGGAATGTGTTGTAGGGTCCCGTAGGCATCTTTCTAGCAAGTTTCAAGGAATTTCATTTTTTTGGGTCAAATTTGAAAAAAATGCAAGGAGTTAGCCTTACATTTTTATCAGAATTTGGCCAAAAATTGACTTTTCTCCAAACAATGCAGAACTTCCTTTGGAAGTCAGAGGAGCACCAATCAATACTCAAACACCCAATATTTGGAAGATTTGGGCAAAAACCTTCGATTTTGTGAGAAATAAATTAACATTATTGACTGATTTTCCCCTTGTCCAATTTTTTCTTTAGAAAAGCATATCTTTCTACAAATGGAGTTGGAATGTGTTCCAGGGTCCCGTAGGCATCTTTCTAGCAAGTTTCAAGGAATTTCATTTTTTGGTCAAAATTGAAAAAAAATGCAAGGGGTTACATTTTTATCAGAATTTGGCCAAAAATTGACTTTTCTCCAAACAATGCAGAACTTACTTTGGAAGTCAGAGGAGCACCAATCAAAACTCAAACACCCAATATTTGGAAGATTTGGGCAAAAACCTTCGATTTTGCTACCCCATCATATTTTGTCCAATTTTTTCTTTTGAAAACCATATCTCTCTACAAATGGAGTTGGAATGTGTTCTAGGGTCCCTTAGGGGTCATTCAGAATTTTCAATGTTTTAAAATTTCGACTTTTTTTCCAAATTATTTTGACCCACCCACCCACCCCTAATTTCGATTAATAAAAAACTGAACATGACTGTACATGTACATGCACTTGCATGTACATGTACTTGAACACCATGTATATGTGTGTCTAGTTCAGTGACGGCGTGAAGTTGTTGGTCATCCTCTTTTATGTGATAAAATATGTGATACCTCACCAACAAGTATCTTTTAACGAAATTCAATCAGAATATTTATCCTTTTTTTTTTTTTAAATGTTTAATTGTTGTTTTACTTGTTGGTGTCCCTGCCACACTGTACGATGGTGTAGCCGTGCGTTATGCACGTGGATTGTTTACTTTCGTTTTGACGGGGACTTTACTGAATAGAGTCTGGTGACTGTACATAGAAATTTCTTTGAATAAAAGTCGAATCGTTCATTCATGTGCACTTGTTATGCAAAGCAGGGGCAGTGGTTCAAGGATATCCAGTCGACCTGCAGAAAGTGTGCAAGAACGCGACTTGAATGCTTTATGTGTCCACAATACAACGACGCTTCTTAGTTATTTCACTGTGTGACACAGTGAAAATTTTTGGAATCATAGGCCTAATTGCGTCAGCGATACTTGCTGGGGAGCTCTTGCGTACGACTTTCTGTACTTTGGTACTGTTGTTTCCAGGACAATGGTGTGTACGGTAACCCGACGTACCAAGATTTGTAAAGACGAAATTGCCGACCTCAAACTTGTTAGTGCCATATTTGGCAACTATATGTGCGTTATTAGTTTATTAAACAAATGAACAGGTTAATTAAACATAGTACCATTGAAGGTACCTAAAAGTAAACATAACAGCATAGAAGACCGACAGACGAACATAAAATGTTACAAAATAAACATATTTGTCTGGATAATTTTTTTTAGGGCGTTACCGGCAAGTTAACACAAACTTGGTGTCAAATAGATCATGAGAGTTACTTTTCTTTGACTTTTCATACAATGATACAAGTTTACATAAACTTTAACTGTATGACCTGCAGTGGCGTAGCCACGGGGGGGGGGGGGGGGGGGGGGGTGGGAGGCGCTTCCCCCCCCCCATGAAACCTTGTCGCCCACCCCCCAGTCGCCACCCCCACTGAGATTTTGAGTTTCGAAAAAAATTATCATTGATCTACATGACGCCCCCCCCCCATGAAATGTTCAAGCCCCCCCCCCCCCCCCCCATACACACCACTGAAAAATTCCTGGCTATGCCACTGACAGTACATACAGGGGATGATGAAGTTGGAAAAGAAACACGCATCGTGATATCGGAACGTTTGCGCGTAGTTCAGGCAAGTCAAAAGATCTATCTTTCTTTGTTTTTTTTATCTTTTTTTTCCATGGAAAGTGCATTTCGATTTTCAATTATTTAGCTTGACCCACCCACCCACAATTTGGAAAAAAGATCGAAATTTTAAAACACTGAAAATTCTGAATGGCCCCTTAGGCATCTTTCTAGCAAGTTTCAAGGAATTTC